TACAGCTTTTTCAAAAGATAAGAGAAAAAGGTCTTATTTATCAAAATATCAAAAGCGGATAGAAAGGAGCAGGTTTGAATCCATTTAGTCCTCGTCAAGTTCTAAATAATCTTCCAACCCCGCTTTTATTATCACCTTTTACTCCAAATATACCAGCAAACCTAGAAGATTTAGATCTCTCTTTGCTTAATAGCTCTCCCCCAAATGATATTGAGCTGCGACAAGTAAATAAGGTATTCAATTCAGCTTTATCCACTAATAATCTGCCTACTTCTCCAGTACAAAGATATACAAAACAAATAACTCATCAGATTGAAAGCTTAAATGTTGAAAATACTATTCTTTGAAGGGAATTTCAAGAATATAAAGAATTACTTGAAACACAAAAGAAACGAAAAAATAAAAAAAGAATAAAATTAAAAAGTGAATTTTTATTTAGTACTGAAGAAGTATTGAAAATTATCGAGAAGGCTAAATAGATACCCTTACCAAAACGATGATGTGGTAGATTATTCAAGTGTCAAATTGATCAGGTAGAAGGGGAGATAGAAGAGGAAGAGGATAGTGATAGTTCAGTTGGATTAGTGATAATTGTAGATCACCCTGTAGCATGTAGGACAAGGTCAAATAGGAAAATATGATTTTTGTAACCCATATCATGACATAACCCACTTCTAGTCAAGTTACGTTATTGATTTTTTTTTAATATTTTATTGATTAAATTATAGAGATTCAAAGTTGTGTTATTTTAAAAATAATGGGATTTACTAATAGAATAAACAAAAATCAAGCAACTTTTGAAGATTTTAATTCAATTGTATGAATTTTCATAATATAAATTTCTAAGGATTTTAAAATTTTGAAAATATCAAATTGTATTATAAAAACTCTATAAAAATAAATTTTGAAAGAATTTTGTTCACATATCATAAAGATTTTAATATTTGAAAACATGGTAAAATATTGATTTTTAATATGAAAATGAATTTGGGCTGATAGCAGTTGACTAACACTGTAGAAGACGAAAATAAATTCTTCCCCTTTTCATCTCGATCCCTAAAATCTGGTTGGAGAGTGAAAATATTTACACCCCCTATAATTTTTGTCTTACTTAGCTGAACCAGAGATTCAGACTCACAAATCGGGGAAGCTATAGTTGATTCACTGACGAAACACACAGCCCTTTCAGAATGCCCCTCAAGATCAGGACCCAGGTACATAGTATTCTCTAATATCAGAGCAACTTTGCCCTCTTAAGTGAAATGATTAGCACGGATATTGAGGTGTTATGGATCAATGTGGTGAGTGTTTGTAGATTGAAGATGCCTTTGAATTGAACAAGGTGTAATTACGTGAAGTTCTCATCCCTTAATTCTTGATTGGTAATTTCCTTCTATTGTCGTGAATCTTTATTTTTGTACGAGCAATTATCTGTATTACCTGTAAATATGAATTCTCATTATCAAATATGAGCACTGTCAAGCAATATCAATCATCACTATCATCTTTTTCAACAACACCATTCTCAATTTGATCGTCATTATCCGACACGTGTCATCCCAACCTGAAACCTCCTGACTTGAGAATGAAAACTCAGAAAATCACTTCAAGGCGTACTGATTGAAACTCTTCAAGTATACCTTCCTAGAATGTGATGTTGTTAGATATTTTGTCTTGATAGTTGGGTGGTTAAGATTATTCAGTCTTTATATACGGGGGAGGTGGAAGATTTCGGGTGCTAGATTGAAGAGTGGGTAAGGATTTCGCAGGGTGCTTTCGGATTCTTTTGGGTGGGCTTCTGCAGCGGAATGAAGAGCAGTGAGAATGAGTTTTGAACTTGAAGTGTCTTGTAAAGTCGATCCAAAGCCTTGAGTCATAGTCAACCCAGATTTGCACTACTGGTGGGAGTCTCAGTCTAGCATTGTACTTCTGGAAAGGAAAATTTCATCATATTTGGATTCATTCGCTTAAATCAAGAGTTCCACTGTGTAAAGAGTTGGGACCTACTTAAGGAATCAGAATAATAATCTTCTCCTTTCTGTCAGGAAGCGTGTTTGATTCTCTCTTTGTCAAATCAGATAAGATTTGATTTGTTTCTGTAATCAGATTATCTTTTTCTGATATCTCCTGTGGCTTTTCGGGGTCTGATTATCGAGCTGAAGTTTCGATTGTGTTATATCGTTTTCTATAAACAGTCACTTTTCATTTTCAATGTTGTCGAATTAGCTTATTGTCGAGCCGATGATAGATACCGTCAACGAGATCTTCAATCTCATGCGTTGTAACTCAATTTTTAGTGATATTCCTATATCTGACAGTGATTTATATCACCCTCTTGCTTTAGATGGTATCCAGCCCTATATAAATTCTAGCTTTACCCATTCTTGATTCTTTGATGACCAAAGATTACATGCTTTCATATTGTTGTGAGTTCTTGCGACTGACAATTGTACTGTTTATATGGGTATGTGATAAGTGTGGAAGTAAGCCTTGTTACTTAGTTTGCCACACAGTGAATGAATCTGCGGGGTAGTGCTGACTTCTCAATGGGGAGTTGAGCCTGTAACCATGAGTTCATAAGAAATGATTGGTTCCCCTCAAATTGATCATTCACGCACAATTCTGGACGACTCGATTCGGGTGAGCTCCTGTGGATTCGTAAAGATTAGATATTTAAGAGTCTGATCTTCTCTATACTCCTTTTTTTCTCACAGAGAAGCGACTCAGGAAAGAGATACGTTCATAAGGAAACTTCACTCGGTCTTTTTCAACCCCATTGGTTAGTGCCGATGTATTTGTCAGCTCTTTTTGGCTGTGTTTCTATTCACAAGTTGTTGTCTAAAAATAATAAAAGGTGAGACTGAGCGTGTGAGATCTTTCTAGTGGAGAAACTTGTGTGGGATTGCACATATGAATGTAGCTCATAGCTCGAGAGCCCGGTGGTTGGGAAGCCAGGTGAAAGTGGAGAGACGATGTCATTCTGAGCCTCACTATAGCTACCGAGATGTATTACTTCTTAAATAGATCAATTTCCGCTGCAAGTTAGTTGGTTTAGTCGCTTGCGGGCGGTCAAGGTAGACATTAGAGCGTCAAAAGATAGGAATGGAAGCGTGCCATGGGAGGAAGGCGTTATCTAAATACAGATCATGACAACAAGATCATTAGAATTTCCATGTTCGTCTCCGTCAACCAAACGGTGACTTGAAATCGAAAGAAAGACACAAATTAAGGACCTCAAATGAGGATGTCAAAGGATCCGAGAAAGAGGAATGATAGAGTGAGAGATCCAATGATATCATCTAAGAGAACGGGTTAGAGACAAGGATAAGGGGCTTACTTGAAGGTTTAAGAAAATTCCCATCTTGTATACTGATATTGAAGACGTTCATAACTCGATAATTCCTTCTAGCAGTATGGATATAGTCAAAAGCTATCATTTCTATCGTGTACAAAATCGTATTTAACTCCTCTATAAGCTGTTATGTTTCATCACGAGGACTCCCGAAACGTGATAATGCGAATCAACCTTACCTCACCTTCTAACTGGGCAATTTTATCTTCAAGGCTGCGTTTCGTAAAATTAGTAATCTTCAGACATCTTCGTAATGGAATGCATGTCCCATAACACAACTTAAGAGCAAATTTCTCACTGCTTACACGAGTCCCAATCGTCCATTCACATGTGCAGCTCTATGCCCCTTTTCTTGGAATGGGCACACTTCTGTAGAATGGCTATAAAGTTGTTGGGAAATTCTCTCTGGCAAAGTCTATACAATTCCTACGCCCCGCTTCTACATTTCGTGGGGGATTTTATCTGCAAGAGATACAATTTCTCATAACTCGGAAAAGAGACCTATAGAACTTCGTTTGTTTGATTGGGGGAATATGCCTACAATGCCGACTATCAAAAGACGGGACTGGTCCTCACTACCTCAAAGCTAGATTCAGCTAACATTTACTTTAAACCTCACCATTTATTCAGAATCATCGATTGGTTCTTTCAACCTCCAGGATCGATACTGTGGAAATTTTTGCTTCCCGTTCAAACCTTGATTTTTTCTTCGAGATGTCTGATCAGAGCAGTGAGAATACAATGGCAAATCATCCTAGCATCGCCAACCTGGATTTCGGCGAAATCGACATCACTCCACCAAGCTTAAGACGGCAATCTCGGCCTTATAGCAAACCAATAGATCACGAATTTAGATTGATACCACAACTTCCTTCCTCATCAGTGATGCATCTTCTCTTCTCGATTCCAGCAGTGGTACATCAGATATAGCGATCAAATCAATCTCATCGCGGTCCCAAGCCAAAGTCCATGATACTCGCCATTGTTTGACGGAGTATTATATTGACTAGAAGTGGAAATTCTTTGCAAGCCTTATCGTCATTGCTTGTCCATTCATTATTATCACGATATTATACCCAATGCAGGAAAACCTATACCAGAGTGGCCATTTCAAATATCAATCAACACACTACTATCTATCTATGGTCTTGGGTTCAAAACCTGTCCAACTTTCATTATCGCTTCGTGCATTGGACAACTTCAATGGTATTGGTTTTCCTCTCATCGTCCACTTCACGACGTCGTTTGTTATGATAGGGCTACTCGTGGGCCACGGGGCTCTATCCAGTCACTGTGCTCTGAACACATTCGGCGTCCCTGACTGGACTTGGTGCCATAATATTGATAGCTGCGGTCGCTATTGATCCTTTGATCCAGCAACTAGTTTTGCCATACGATTGCGAGGTAGCAACACTAAATATCAAGGCGACGTTGCCCCGAACCAATCAGTTTGATAACGTACACAGCACATTGATGGACCCTACTTCCGAATTACCAATTAAATCGGCAGTTTACACTCCACAAAACTAGATGACTTGGCAATGTATAACAGGAAACTGTACATTTTCAGAAACATATGGAACATTGGCATACTGCAGCAGCTGTTAAGATATATCGGATAAACTAATCTCTGAGACTGCCTGTTATGATGAAGAGGCGAACACTAATATTATTTCTGGAACGTTATTGTGTCGGAGTTTGGGGATCTATTGCAAAAACTAGTCTTGACGTGGGAGACTATTTCCCTGATCCGGAAGACCCATTTGCAGGTCAGTGAGTTAACACGACAATTAGCAATGCATTTACCCCTGAAAGTCATTCGCTCAAGAAACCATTGGCGATATCGGTAATTTCGAGCCATTCAAATAGCTCCGGTATATATCATAGTTCCGAAAACCGTAGATTCAACTAAACGATTAAACCCAGAGTCTGATCCAGCGTCTATAGGACCGTGGATAAGTCGTAACATGACAGCGGCATCAAATCCTTGGCGACGCCAAGCACACGTTGTAGCGGTGTGTTCGCTACAGCCATGTATCCGCACCTTCAAGGCGAACATTAACGGAACTCGACTTACTGAACACTGGATCTCAAGCAGTTCGACTATCCTCTGGGGTTTTAGCTCAGAATCCCATTCCAGCGGCAAAGACTGGATAGGAATGATTGATATTTATTTTGTATCGAAAGGTGAAAGGCAGGTATTATCAGAGCAAAGCTATGAAATTGACAGCTCTTCACAATGGCTTGCTTATAACAGGTCTTTTATGCAATCTCAGGCTAAATATGACCTAGTCTCATCTCTTCTCTCACACCGCTGCTTGTATCTGATGGCAGGAATGATAATGCGCGGCATTCCATTTATATCTGATTTGCTGGGCGACAACTTACAGGGCTATGTTTCAAGCCTGGATTGGAGTGTGGGTATTGAGGAAGGGATTAATAGGACATCTGCATTTTATGGATTGTTTGGTCCTCGAATGATGTTGGACCTGTATGGTAATAGCTATATTGAATTTAAAGATATATAGGAAACATTTTCAAATATTTTAGACATAGCTATAGCTTGGACACGAACGCATGGGAACAGTACTTTTTCAGATCCTGCTGTTGGGAACATCCTACACTATGCAACATGTTTGCGCGTTCAGTAGCCGTGGATAGCATTTCCAGCAACCCTGGCAGTCCTTTCACTGATCTGCCTCGTGGCAGTGATGACCGTTACAAATAGACAGCAAGTACGAAAATGGAAATCCTCACCGCTGGCATTGATCATGAGAGGATCAAATACAGAATTTTGGTGCAAACCTACTGTCGACACGATGGGAGAGTGGTCTAAAGAGATCACTGTCATTCTTATAAAAGGGTCTGATCTACAAATCTAGGTTGTGCGAAAAGATTTCGGGCTCGCGGATATGGCCAACAGAGGAAGGAATAACTCTAGCCAAACTCTGAGCGACGACGTGCCTGAATGAGCTGTCTCTAGGTTAACCACGATCCTATGAAAGATAAATCATCCAACTGTTTCTTATTTGGCTCACCTTGAAGCGGACAGACCAAGAAAAGGAGGATACTGGACAACTACACTTGGCGGGAAGAGACAGAACCCTCAAAAAATCGCATTCCGCGCCAAAAGATGGAGATAGAAAGAATCGAACTTCCCTCTCATACACTCACGGTAAAACCCTCCAACTGCCCGGATCGCCAGGGCACGACTCATTTTCATGAATCTTCTCAATCTTCGGATTCACACTGAGAGGCGTGTATTCTACCATTGAACTATATCTCCCATCGATTTTGTTGGGTGGAAATTCATATCTAGGTATCTTAATGGGATGAGTGGGTATGGGTGTTATGGTTGTACAAGGAGCAATTGACCTTTTGATAGAAGATGGATAATCTGAAACTTATCGTCCAAATTATGAACGTGAGGGTAACGCAGAGTTACGTCATGATCATATTGTTTAGGGTGAATACCGCCAATTTCTGCACATACATACCAATAGAAATACAAATTGACGTATCTGCCCTTGGCTATATGAAGATCTCGAGATGGTCAGTTTCTATATCATTTTTTCTCGTAGCAACTTGCATTTCGAAGCAAGGTGGCTTTTTTGGTGGGGAGGGTTATGGGAATGAATGTAGACTGCGGGAACCTACCAACCGGACACATCTGTTGTCGAGATGCGTAGTCAACTCAAATTATCAAGAGATTATTATTATCGATTGCTTGTGATTGTTGTTCAAATTGTACGACACTTCCACTGTCCTGGTGTAATTACTGTCATCAATCTTATACATTGTTGCGCTTGCCATATCAGCCACTCCTCCCCAGGCTTATTATTCCTCTGAGTCAAGTAATAGGAATTTGAAAACGGCAACTTTTCCGAAATTCGAAACTCGATGTTTTCCTAGCACGGAAAATCCGTAACCACTGATCTTGGTGACGATTTCGTTTTTGTACATTGTATCACCATCAAGAAAAGAAAAGAATGTGTCTTTAATATCCTTGGATGTCGCGGGATCATACATCAAGATGCAAAATGGGGTGAATAAAGGACGACAGATACATTCAGAACTGATTTCCATAGAAGAAACAGAATTGCGAAAAATCAAGCGGAAGTACTATGTTTGACTCTCCATTGAGGGAAGAGTGAATGCCTACCCATAAATCCATTGATTTATCCTCATACCTATATATAACTCTCCAATATTACTACTGTAAGAGAGACCGCAGATAGACTAGCTATAGTCTGCGCGAAACGCCGTTTTGAAGCTTTGAGTGCAGAAAAGAGGTGATGATTATGCTTGCTTACCAGTTCCAGTTTCTAACCAATGGCTTGACTTGGACTGGGGATGTTGGACTTGCTTTGGTGACGTATGGTGGGATGATAACTGGTTGTTGTTGTCATTTGATTCCTATTTCACGAAAATGACAATAATCGATGACACATCTTTCTCCAAATTGGGACATTTATCTCTCGATATTTGGCACGTTGTATTGGATGGAAGTACTTTACGAAACAACAAATTTCGAGTCAACCTCTGACTCCTAGTCAATCTGCGTTCGCTAGTTCAAAGTCGCTTGCTCTACCAAGAAGTCTCTACGGCAGTTTTAATAGGAGTTCCTACAACCGGTGAATCTGATCAGAGTTCTGGTTATGAGGAAATTCACTCAAAGTTGTAACAAATCTAGCAATCCAGGCATACTGAGTCTCACTCAAGAGATATATAATGAACCCTTGATTTAAGATATCTGAATTGAAAAGGGATTGCCATACCAGAAAGAAAGAAAAGACGACTGATAAGTTTAGCCTCTCGGGGCGAGGAGATTTGTTGACCTTGGGTCAGAGATCAGATTGGAATGCAAGATTGCTAGTTTGAACTTGAGTGGTGCTACAATAGGTCTTTCTTAGAGCGATTTTGTGTTATTTTGTTGTTGCGTTTTTCTCTCTTGCTGTTCTTGTCAATTTACTCATCTTTTCAACAACTTTGAAGTAGACGCGGAACGACAACATGATATGGTTCATAACAATATTTTGAGGTTCATAAGTGCTGATTATCCCAGTGTAGATATATTCGCTACACACCACTTAAGTCTTCCATTGAATCAAGCAAAAATATAATGTTCCCCATCAATTGCCGCGGGAAGAAAGGTAGCCTTCTTTAAGATGGAAGAAAAACAAAAGAGGAAGCGGAATTGGGTCTTAAATACTTAAATTCTGAAAGGTGCAACGGTGTAAGCAGCAGAGAAATCAGGAAGTGTTTAGACTAGATATACTGCTTGCGGACCATGAAAACCCATGTAGATTTATATTCGATTGTGATAAATTTTATCCGGGAGACATTCAGCGTGAGGAATAGTCTAGTGAAGGGAGCATTCTTGACTTTGCAGAGACGGTTAGCATATAATTACACTTCAGCTGTTGCTTCATCGACATTGTTCAAAACCAGAAAAAGCGGAGCTCAGCAAAATCGTTCAATGATCATGATCAACAAAAACCTTTGATTCAATAATTAGACTTCGTCATAACCGCAGTAAATGCTTCCTTAACTTCACTACCCATCGGTCTTCCAGTTTCTTGGGCCAATTTAGGTCGTTCCATCGCTCCAGTATACCCACGGCCAACACTCAAACTCATCATTGTCCCAATTTCCACCTCTTCTTGTCCCATAATTTGATGATGTGGTACATCCTCAATCACAGGCCAACAACTCCACGTCCGTTTTCCCCATCCAAACCATCGATCTCCAGTGGTGCATCCCCCAATATCTCTACTCTCTGGTGTGATATAACATTCTCCCCATCGCTCTCCATTTCTCTCAATATATGCATCTTCCGAGAAGTAGTTGTGGAACCGTAGATTGGTTAAGTTGCCTCGTGTGAATTGGGGATGCGCGATAGAGAAATTGGCGGCGTCTGATACGTCAATTGCTGTTCGACACCATTCTGGTGTTGTTGATTTTGGTGATTTTGCTACTTCCTTGGAGATGGATGGAGAGGATGGTGTCCATGCCAAGAAATGCATGGAAGGCGGGTAGAATACATGGCCGATATATATTGGTTCAACATCGAGCACTGTTTTCGCAGACGCCGAAAGAAAAAGAGGATATAAAGCTGCAAGCGCAAAAGGAACTTTCATCTTGACGTTGACCTCCTCAAAAAAAAATACACACGACAGGAGAACAGATTGGAAGCTCGCAGTAATCATTCACTTGGATGAAACGTCGAGAAATTAAAGTGGTCAAAAGTGGATAACGGAAATTGAAGAAAGTTACCGTGGCCCCAAGCTTTGGTCTATATTTTTCCTCCAACGGATTAATATATTAAAAGCCTAATTTATGCTTGTTGATAGTTCGGATGTTGAGGCGAACTCCCGATATAAGTTCGGATAAGTCTCCGGTAAATGAGGAATAAGAGGAATAAGAGGAGCCAGAAGGTCAGCTGAGGGTGTGGGGCCCCGCACTCTCACTGTGTGGCGATGTGGAACTCAAACCTTCCAGTTGCAATCTTAGGTCAAAATTCTAGAAACTATTCCAAAACATCGTCGACGTTGAAGATAGTTGTCGATGTAAATGTTTGTGAACTTACACAAGGGAGAAGTTCACTGAGGTGAGACTAAAATTAGCGATGACAAATCGTGGTGCAAATTAGAAGCTGACTCACGCCGGTGATGGCGACGGCGAAACAGTGCCTGTATCTGGCATACCTTGAGCTTTCACTTAAAACAATAGACATTCCTCTTGATAATTCTTATATCTATACCAAGCAATTCATAAAATCTTTGTTGTTTCCTTAGTAAAGAGAAATTCATGTAACCCGAGTTCAAGATTCTACCCCGCATTCTTGGCCCCCAAACAAACTCAATTCCACCATGAATCTCACACTTCGTCCCGCAACTGCTGCAGACGCAGAGGCCCTCACAAACATCTACTTCTCAGCGTTCAGCAGCGACGAAATCTCTCTCCTCTGTTTTCCTCGCTCCTCCGTATCATGGACTTGGTGGCACAACTCCATCCTCTCCGAAATCCAAGATCCCTCATCCCATTTCCTCTGCATCCAAGATGTTTCCTCTCATACTTCAGAGATCATCTCGTACGCAAAATGGAACAATACATCTGCTACCGTAGCCACAACCAACGATCTACCAGAATGGCCTCAAGGTTGTGACGTAGAGGTCGCGAATCACTTTTTCGGAACACTGATAGAAAGACGTAGAGAGATTATGGGAGAGAGAAAGCATTGGTACTTAGAGATTGTAGCTACGAAGCCGGAATTTCAGGGTAAAGGGGCAGCGGGAAAACTCATGAGATGGGGATTGGAAAGGGCAGATGAAGATAGAGTAGAGACGTATTTGGAGGCTAGTCCGATGGGAAAGGAGGTTTATGAGCATTTTGGGTTTGAGGAAAAGGCGAGATTGGTGGTCCCAGTGGATGGAAAGAGTGACTTTGTGGAGTGTATGATGGTTAGACCCAGAAATACGAGGGTGGGTGGCGTGTAGAAAGGTGTACGCCGGTGATAAATACTCGAGGTGTGTCCAAAATTTACAACGAGCTTGGAACTTTACTTTCGAAGATTATAAGTCCGAGTCCATTTAGTTCGACTATGCCAGATTTGTAAGACGAAAAGCACGACAAGATCGTTATTTTGTTGGCTTCTCGAGAATTTCTCCAAGGTTTATGTGGACATCATTAGATAGAAACTTGTAGCACGTAGTGATGTTGTGAGTAACGACCGTGTATGAAATTTATTTACAGCTAGGAAAGCTATTTACAGTCCCACCTTACTTTTCTTCCATCTCCTTCTCCTTTAATCTATCTCAGAACTCCATTCCCACTTTATGGAACCGCTTTTGCGTTCAATGCAGCGGCGTGGTTGGTCACCAACGTGGTATATTCACTTGTTCCATAATAAATCGTATTTCCATCATCTGAAGTCTTTCCCGTTGAAAGGGTGTCGCCGTATTGCCAGTACATACTTCCAGCAGTTGCGGTGTCGAGGACGGTTCCTTGCCATGGCAACTCATTCAGATGCGTAGGTGAACCATACTCTTCCAATACTAATGGTTTACCAGCGGCAGCAGTTACATTAGCATGGCTCGAGATCCAAGAAGATCCCCATGAATCAACTTCTCCCCATGAACCAGGGTAAAGATGAATGGTCGCGAAATCGATGGTGGGAATAGCCAGGAGATCTGTGAACCATGTACCAGGGCCCGAAGTAAAAGGGTAGGATGTATCGTTTGCAACGGTGAGACCAAATCCTTCGTCTCCAACTGTTACCATATGGTTGGGGTCGAGAGATTTGATATATTGAGAGATGCTGGTAGCCCAATTTGTGATTACTGAAGTAGCACATCCAGTACATCTAGGTTCATTGGCAAGTTCCCAAGCAAAAACTGCGGTGTTTGTCTTGTAGCGGGCTACTACTGCAGCAATATATGCTTTATATTGGGCTTGAGCTGCTGCGTTTGTGTACCAATCTGTCAAGGAGATACCGTAGTATGTAGCATATGCTTGCATTCCACCGTAATCATTCCAGTTGTTAACGAAATTGATGATAAGACTTATTCCATGAGCTTGAGCCGATTGTACGACGTAGTCAAGACGTTGAAGACCATTGGCACCGGTGTTGATCACTGGCGATTGCCCTGCTATGAAAGATTGATACCAGACGCTACCAGAACCTTGCGCTGTTGTGACGTCATTGAAACCCCAGACGCGAAGTACTTTAAGTCCAGACTATGACGGATTAGTCGTTGCTACACGATAAGACATCATTACACTTACAGAAGCAAGATGAGACATAACCAAGTCAACATCTGCATTGTTGGTCAAGAACCCGCACCAATAACAATTGGTTCCTGCAAAGTATGTTTTCTTCCCATTGATTTGAAATACAGTCCCTGCAGTTTTAGCATAGCCAGTTATGGATGTAGCGGTGCTCGCTGGTGCAGCTGTAGTGCTTGTGCTTGAAGTCGTGCCTGGCTTATTAGTAGCTAATGTAGTTGATGTAGTAGCAGGTTTAGTGCTTGTAGTAAGAGTTGTGGATGCTGCATATCACATTAGTGGATGCCAACAATTGTCCCAGGGGGACTTCTAACCTGATCCTGGTACACATTGAGAGTAAAATGCATTTGAATGTACACATGTATATCCCGTGACGCAGGTTGTCGGTCCTGTCCACTCCTGCCCACCGCCTATCAATCATCAGCATATATAAAGCATTATGTTCATAAATACTTACACTTTGCATATGCGGCAGCTTGGCCTCTGACAAGAGCAACCGCACAAGAGGTGATGAGTGCAACTGATACTTTCATTCTGAAGACTTTTGACCACGCTCTTGATCGAAATACAATGGAATGAATGATACAAGCCAAGATGAAGGAATAGGGCAGAGGGATGATTTATGTAAATAATAAGATGGGGTGAAAGACTGACTTTGACCTACACTACACAACAGCAGTCATGCGAAGGGAACAATTAAATCCCGTCGGCCCGGACTAAAGATTATGGTGCATAGGTACTAATTGCAAGAAAATTTTGTGACTGAAGGAAAATCATTGAATCTTCCGTATCAAGCAATGCTCGTGCAGGAGATCACTAGCACATAAAACCACAGTTACAATCTTTTGAGTACACGGAAGAAGCTCTTTGTATTAATCTAATATAAAGTTTATGCTTTCGTGTCAAGACACTGATTTGATTGATGGAGTTGAGTGGGTGGATCTCTACGACGTAGCGATTAGACGATCCGTCTAGTTCTACAGGCTTTGCGGTACGATATCCGCATGGCAAATTGCATGGCACATGCACGATTTCCATAAAATCTGGGGTAATAAACACCAATCGGCGTTCAAGGACATTCTTCATATCCGCACCAAATCTTTCAAATTCAATTGTCACCAGATCGTAGGCATTGAACCGGGAGAATAAACCGAAATGGTACAACGGACCTGTACCCTCCGTCATCTAAATTTCGTTAGTGTTCGGCTCCTATTCCATAACAAAATGCTCAAGTCATGCAGCGACACATATCACCTGACGATACCTTCAAATTTCGGAAACCATACAGTGCATTTAATATGGATCCCAATGGATACATTAAAAAATCTCCCTCCCGGCTCTTAGAAACGCAGTGAAATGCTGAGATGAAAATAGATATCATGCTGGCATGGTCTCTTGTCTGGATTCTTGTGGAGTGGTAAAATACCTAGGCACATATTTCCTAGTCATAGCTATTCAACCTATCTTTTCGCGATTCGCCATTTGGCATCTGTCGAGCAGGTATTTCCACCCCCCCCCCCCCCCACCCCCCCCCCCCCTATTCTTACCATCTCCAGACCGAGCAATCAAGGGGCAGGGGTTGTAGATGGAAATAGCCATGTACTGAGTCAAACAAGACAAGCGAAAACATAGCTTTGCAGTAGAGCACTTGCTGACTATATGTGTGTATTCACGGTAGCACGAGCGGAAGCTTCGGAAATTGATTTGGGAACGAAAATAATACACATCAAGCAACCCTGAGAAATAGGGATACTGTAGCGAATACCGCATGAGATACTATGCAATGCCATCTCAAAGAGATTTTGATTGTTTGAAAGACGAGTTATCCAATAGCCACTGTATTGCATATCTCTACAAGCAGTCTTTTTGTGTGTCTGCAAATCCGCAATGAATAAGATCGAAGGTCAATGTATCAACCCAATCGTACACAAAAGCCCAGCAACTCGGGCCCAGTGTAAGCACTGAGCATATCCCTCGCCCAGGTTTGAGCTACTCGCCCCGCTTCAAATGCCGATTTCGAGAACAGCTTCTCCCCTTTATATAATATAGTTCTAGAAAGGTAGATGGCCCAAAGTCCAAATCAAGATACAGCCGAAGTTTGATATACGTGGGGCAGTAGACCAATGCCTGGCAGCCGTGCCACTCGTCGAAGCTGCATTTCGATCGGGATTCGACAAGAAGTATGATACGCCGATTCATGGAAGAAAGGGTAATCATTGAGCCTGTGAGCGTGTGATATCATCTATGAGTTTAAACTGACTTGAAGGATTGCGAGGACTTGGGGCAAATTTGCTCCATAAAGTTGAGAAGAGTAGCAGCGTCGCCGTCTACTCGTTCCCCAGGAAAAGCAAATGCAGTACTGGAGATTGGTCCATATAGAATTCTTCTTGTCTAATTATCCTTTGTGAGATTTCATTCAGAGTTTGCCCTTGACCTCATAATTATTGTAGCTGTTGATGTTCTGGGTGTTCAAAGACTTGAGAAAGATAAAATTGATCTTATCCTATGGGTAAATGTAAGGTCGGGCACCCTAAATGTTGTTCCGATGGTCCGTGCCTCGACCACCAAAATAACTAAAAGACTGGTTTTCTGTAAACTAACCACATCTTTGAAAAACAACCAACAACTACTGCTCAAGTGTTCCATCTGGGACTATCAGTAAGTGCTACTTCACAACCTTGGACATCTTTAACCATCGAAGCATTCACATCTACCAACTGTCCTTTGATGAACATTAGGAGTATCCATAATCATGTATCATGGTGGTACACACTGCAGAACACAACAATCTATCTCCACAATGCAACCATGTATGGCTTTGTAGTTGTCTCATACATGCCTTGCATCATTTATCTATCGAATAACACGCATACACAAGGACCCAAAACTTCTTGAAGCTATTGTATCCGCATCGTGTTAAAAACAAGGAGAAAAACATGCATCTGAGGGGCACAGATGCTAGGTGTTGCACAAGACTCTTCAAAGAATCACTCAAGTGTTGAAAATGAAGAAGGACTTGAATCATGGTCAGGAAAAGCTTTCAGATCCAATCTCAAACTAAATTCTGGTCTTAAAGTTCAATATCATCCACGTGTAATGTGCCTTCAAACTTTCAAATCTTTATCATTATCAGTCCCCCATCTGCATCGTCTGTTACCCAGTAAGTAGCATGACTGCAGTGCAAGTCCTCGACCCAAGCCTTCAATCAGTGTAGTCTCCGCTAGGTTTCAGTCATACCAGCCTCTAATCCTCGATATAATCAACCTTCATCCTGGTCATTCTCGTTGGTGTCTAACGAGACTTTTACTGTTACTGTTTCTGTTTTTCGTCAGCCAAGTTCTTATCTTTGGATAGTTTCCTCGTACCAGTAGCTACTTTCCTTCATGCAACTTTCTTGTCCAACTCGGGCAAAATTTCTTCCGCCTTGATCGCGTTCTTCAATGAATGTTTCACGCCCCTCTTCCGGCTCCTCGGGGGCGGTTCGCAGCATCCCCCATATCCTCATTATCCGCGCTCAACTGGCCGCATTGCTCAGCCATAAAGGATATCCATCTCCTGAATCTATGATGGGCTGCATTCTTGTTGGCGACACCCATATCTGCAATCAAGCGACCATGGTCAAGCTTATTCCAGATTCCCCTCAACTCATCTGCGATATCAAGTTGTTTGGATATAGCATTCCAAACAAGAGTGTTGTTGTCAATTCTCGGGTTGGGAGGCATATTTGCGTTTGAAGTCAAGATGTCAAATCCGAGCTTGGTGTTTCTTGTCGATATGGTATTGCCTTGCGGACGATTCACAAAGTGCTTGACTGGTGGCGATTGGGAGAGTTGTTGTTTGATTGCAACTTGTCTCTATTTGTAGTGAGCTTCATGATTGCCTACAAGCCGAAACGTCTCTTACCAAAGAAAGATACTTAAGCCTTCTATGATCATTCGAATAAATACCATCATGGAGATTCGCGCCTCAAAAGGCTTTTTTCTTGTCGAAAGAGAAATGTTGCCTAAATAGTGAAACGCGACACTGGCTCCTGAACCAGCGCTTTAGATAGAAGTACCTATCACTGAGTGTGAGTTTCGGTCGTTAAGAATTATACCGAATGAACTTCTCATCGGACATGCATGGAATCAATTCCCTTAGTATTACTTAAACCTAAAATATTCCAGGAGCATCTATCAATGATTTCAATTCTCTACGAGAAGGCTGATATCTAGTATTATCTCAACTCCCAGTGCTGTTGCGTTCTCAAGAAGGCCTGTGCGCTAGTTCACCACACATAAATAGCCGAAGTTCTGATACTTCCACAAGTACCAAAACACCCCCAAAGGAAGACAAATATCGAAATATCTTCCGGCTCTTCGAATCATCCAGAGTATTAGATTGTCATCAATTGCAGTCTACCTGATTGTCACCTCCCCATCCAAGTCAATCGCACACACACTTGCCCAATAAATTCACCCTCCACGACCATGTCGGAAAAACCTCAACAAGCCAAGTTTACTCAAGCAGAGACCGATTTATTGTGGGCCGTTATCAAATACGTTCCGAAAGACCAAATCAACTCGTGTGTTAATAGAAGCGTCCAAGCCGTTGCTAGACATCTAGGAATAAAGAAGACGGCTACTAAGAAGCGCTGGTCCCGCCTTGCAATTCGGGTTCGCAAGGAAATTGAGGCCGCTGATAAGGGAGCTGTTGTCGCAGGCATTGCAGTCGCAGGCATTGCAGAGACCGAAGCTGAAACTAGTGGTGAGGATCAGGAGGTTGTTATCAAGAATGATGGTGAAAAGCATGTCCGTGGCAAGGATGTCGGTGGAAAGGATGCTAAGGCACTCGGTGTTACACCCAAGCGTGGTCGCAAGACTCCTATGAAGAACAAGTCTCTCAGGATAAGGTCATTAAGAACAAGGTCTCTCAGGATAAGGTCATTAAGAAGAAGGCTACAATCGCAAAGGGCAAGCGTGGCAAGAAGGGTATCAAGGATGAGGTCACTGCTAAAGCCAATATCAAGAAAGAAGAATCCGATGAGGATTTTGACGATGCTGAGGCAGCTTTCTGACTAGAGCTGGAGAATTTGTACAGAATGGGGCGTTCGCTTTGAAGGACGAAGCTAGGATCTCACCGATAGCGATCTTTGGGGAAAGTTCTAGATAGACAACACCTCCAAACCTCCGAGTTTTTCTCATAATCAATAAACACAGTCGCATTTGGCGCAAAGAAAACGCCTCTGTAATCCATTGTTCCGAATGTGATAGAATTTTGTCATCGTCCATGCACCTATCCTTGTATGCGGGGGGCATTAAACATACGTCCGTTATCAATCTTCCTTTTCTTTCATTGTTTAGACAATTTTCCGAGAACAATCGAGAGATATTTTTAAAAAGTAAAGTTTGCATCAGAATACTGAGACAAATGATCAATTAAGACTAAGAAAGTTCTAGTTTAACTCGAGCTGATTCTAGCTGCAGGTAACCATAACGTAACAACTCGCACCTGCCGTTCGCAGATTACTCACATCCTCGTCTACATCACAACTTCAAGAGTATCTTCTCTCCACAAAAGTGATACCCTCAACCTTCACATTTGCATTCAACCAACTCGAACCTGCAGTAATCATGTCGACTGACGCAGAGACCCAAAACAACAATCTCGTCCTTAGAGCTCTCTTCAAACAAATAGATATTGGCGCACATGGTGCCATCGATTTCAAACGTCTAGCAGATGATATAGGTGTCAATGGTCAGAATGCTGCTCGGCATCGCTTCAACCGATTCAAAAGATGTTTTACTAGAACTGATGCTGTACCTCCCACTCTTGCCGACGTTAACAACAATACTCTCGTTATGGGCGGTCTTTTTAAGCAACTCGAAATCGGTAGGATCGACTTCACACGCTTGGCGAAAGACATGGGCGTTAATGGTCAAAATGCTGCCAGACATAGGTGGATTCGGTTCTTGAACAGTTTTGGGATTAAGAAGCCAAACAGAGCGGGTGGGGATCAGGATCGAGATGATGGCGGAGATGACGAGGAGAAGCACAGAAATAATTCTGGAAACAAAGATGGGAAAGAGGACAGAAAGAAGAGCGATGAAGCAGCGAATGGCCCTGTAAAGGTCGAAGCGAACACCAAAGCTACTAGAACAAATCTGCCTGGCTCGCCACTGAAGTTCGAGATCACAAGGGAAGAAAGCGGCCTAAAGTCACCTAAGAAAGATGGCAAGAGAAAGATGGAGGACCTGGATGGACATTTGACTGATGAGAAAGAGGGGGCGAGGTTGATGCAAATGCCGGCGAGGAAGTTTCTAAAGAGTGCGACGAAGAGTATCACAAACAGACAAAAGAGTAAAAAGAGAAGTGGTGATGATACCGGGGAATCTTATGATGAACATGGTCAAGATGAGGGGTTCGAGTCTGGGTTTGAGGACATCGACTATACAACAGTTCCTGACAAGAAGAAGAAGAGAGGCGGAGAGGTCGACGAATACAGTGGCGAGGAAGATTGGGAAGCTTAGATAAACATTTAATCTGCACCGATCTGTCTTCACTGCGAGACCGTTCCAGATTCAGCGTTGTGGGTATCTTGCAGTATTTGAGAATGAGGTGTTTGGTTTTGCATTGGGAGGGATTTCATTTTCGAGGATTGCATCAGTATTAGTCTTTGCTGTGGAGTAGGAAGCTTGATCTTAGAATAGAGACATAATTCATGCCGGAAGGCAATTTCATAAACTTTTGGTGCACAACTGTGAAACCGAGTAGCATGTATATTCCCCCGGAGTATTCTTACCTCGTCTATTGGCCTCGACAAAAGAAAATCTTCCATTCTGGTCTAGCTTCGTCAAGAAACAGCAAAATACCACTATAAAGAGCTTGATACCCACCAGCAGATATTGATTTCAATTTCTCAGACAGGGAGCTTCGATAACTTAGTTCTTCTTGATTTTGTCTTTTGAAAAGCATTTTCAGCTACCAAATACTTTCTTGAACGGATTAAGTCTTTTACATCGCAAGCTATCAAACCGATACACACTCAACCTCTTCTTTCAAGATGGCAACCATGGAAGAGAAGCTCCTCATGGGAGTGTTGACTCAAATCGATGTTGGCCGCATTGATTATGATGGTATACAGTTTTTTCCCTCAACCACTCCGAACTGATCATTCATTGCAAATTTATGCCATCAAACGCTAATCATATACTATCTACAGAGCTTGCGAACTACATCGGCGTCGCTACATCCAAGGCTGCTCGCTGCAGATGGGATCGCTACAAACAAAAACTTACAAAGGGGGCACCACCACTCACTCCGAAGAAGGCAGCTGGAGTCGGCAAGAAAATCGGATCAGTCTCACCGAAGAAGGCAGGTGGCAGTCCAAAGAAGAACAACCGCGGAATTCCCAAGAAGTCACGCGGTCGAATCAAGGAAGAAAGCGACGAAGAAGTAAAGGAAGTAGACATGAACGAAGATGAGGGAATGAATTACGACAAGAATAATTCGGATCTCGATGTCGAAATGGAAGATCCAGTCACACCATCGCGTAGGTTGCCGTCCCGACGAGGAAGGGTTACAAAGTTTGTAGAAGAGACTAGCGATGTAGAGGATGAGCAGGAAGAAGAAGATGGGGAGGTGCAGGTTGACGCAGAAGTTGAGGGAATGAAAGAGCTGGCTGTCAAGGATGAGGATGATGAAAGATATCAGGATGAGGACGAGGCGTAGGCTGCATGTGTGAGAATGTGATAGAAAGTTTTCAGGTCGACTAGGTAACAGCCGGGGGCGCGGGGAACAACTAGATCACTTGCAGGCTTCGAAAAGCAAACGCTCATGCTTCTTCCTCTGGTGTCCAATCTTAACATGTTTAATATATTTCTAGAATTTACAGTACAACTCAATCAGTATATTAATATCTATTGCTCTGTGCAATAAGTGTCAGAACTCAACTAAACCAATTCTTTTTCATAGAACACAAAGTCACTTCAATACTTCCCATTACCACCCACCATGAACGACAACGACAAACAGATTATGATTTGGGTACTTCAGCAGATCGACAGAGTCGACTTCAAAGCCCTCGCCCAATGTCTCCATCCCGAGTTAGAGCCTGCAGAAATTACTAGAGCCATGGTTGAGAGTCTTCGAATACGCTGGAAGGGTCTAAAACAACGACATGGAATCGAACCTCCTCCTAGCAGCCCTAACATCTCGCCCAAGAAAGACGCAAACAGAGCCGAGAATAGAGCTGTCAATGGAAGTGGAAGAGGTAGAAAGCGAAAGGTCACCATCGAAGACAACGACGAGTCCGAAACCCCGAGCCCGACGAAAAGGAAAGACAAAGGACAGGGAAAGACAGTTGTGAAGTTGGAGATCAGCGATAAAGGGGACAAAGCGTTTGAGGATGCTATTTTTGCTTACGGTCCCGACAATGAGGCTTGAGATAATGGCTTGCTGGGCTTGAGATTGTGCAGGGCTGAAGCCTAAGCTTGTAGGAGACGTGCATATATTGGTGGTTGGTGGCTGACAGGGGATAGTCTGTGCTCTGCATAAGGGGCGGATATGCGAGGAAAAGAAATCATATTGCTAGATTGTTCTGGGGGATGGAATAAATGATTCTTTTTTTACAAGTTCTTGAGCAATGTGATAGAAAGTATTTAATCGTGTGAAATTCCTTTGCGATAGTACAATTCTCAAATAATTTCATTCCAATTTCGAGAATCACAAATCAACCATATTCCAACACGCAAAATTCATCATCATGCCTCCCCAGCCAATGGAGCACAAATTAATGATTATGATGGCTGCGATGTCACAGTTCTCAAGTAACGAAAAAGACGTCTTTCCAGTTCCCAACTACACCATTCTCGCAGAACAACTCGGATTGCCTAGTTATGCTTCTGCGCAAGGAGTATGGAAACGACTCACGGACGAACTCAAGGAGGGAGCGAAGGGAGATCTCAAAATTCGGGATCCGGAAGCGGACAAAAAGAAGAAGGTCACCGTCCAGCAAAACGAAGAAGAGTCTCCGGTCAAGAAAAGAGCAGCTGAGGAATTGGACACAATGGCTAACGAGCCTGAGTCCTCCCCAACCAAACGATCGAAAGTCAATGCCGGCAAACGCGCGGCCAGAAAATGAACCACTAAGGCAGGAAGCGAATCGAAAGCAAGAGTTGCCAGGTCGGAGAGTGGTTTGGTGGAAAATCAAGGCTGGTACCCGGACAACGAGGCTTGAGTCTGCGCATGGTAATAAGCAATGGAAGACTACAGAAAACGAGGGTGTCGGAGAATTGCATCGATGGTCAGACTTTCTTGGAAAAGTAAGTGCATAACTAGACTCGTCTAGTTAGTATTCAATGCAAGCATTTGGACTCATACAGATCTACATGGACAACTGAAGAAATATTGTGAGACTTTCCGATATGTGATATACAGTATATTAATCGTGTAGGATCCTAGATATTAACTTGTTATTTTCAATCTCATTTCCAACTCCACGTCCGTCAATACCATACTTCGCCTCCGATTCCACTGCAATAACATCCGACAACAAACCCTCGAATCAAATTAGCACAAACCACCTCAACATGTCTGCAAGTCCAAGTGTCGACGACCTCAAGATGCTCATTGCAGTGTTGGTACAATGCGCCCCTGAGAAAAAACCCCTTCCCACACCTGACCACTTGAAGTTGGCAGAAGCTCTTGGCCTTCGCGACCGAATAGTCTCCAAAAATAAGTGGTGTAACCTCATGAAGAAATTCAGAGATGGAGATTTTGGAGATATGGGGGGTCTTATTGCTTCGAAGGAGCCTAATGAAGCTGCGGCAAGGAAACGACCAGTAGTCGAGGTACCAGTTGAGGGGTATATGGAAAAGTCCATACCTTCTCCTACCAAGAAAGTCAAGTAGGTTCTTAAAATCCGTTCTCATTTCTAGAGTGGCGTATGCTAATCTCATCGTACATAGAGGTTCTCAGAAAGCGGGAAAAGGAAAGGGCAATCCAAAGAAGGCCGTCAAGCAGTAGAGTAGTGAGGATAAGGTCTGAGATCTTGCAGAAAGGCAGGAAGACGGGGCTTGAAGGGGAGAATGGGGATACAGTTACTCGGTATGCTGCGAAGAATTCTAAGAGGGGTTCATGCATTTCGGATTACAAGCATGGGGTCAGTCAAGGAATCATGAATGAATACTCGTTGGAGATCGTTAGAGAAGGGTCCAATTTGAGAGTGTAATTCACCAGTAATGATAATCATGAGAAACTGAAGACAGTCAGAATAGCCTATCAATAGTGAACATTTAACCACGCACAAACACGGAAAGTCATTCGAGGGAGCCTCGATCTATCTGTATGGTACTAGCTCCTTCTAGTATAGTACTATCCGAACCGCCCTTCTCGCAAGTCTCTAGCCTTATAATTTTCCTATAATCTTTCGGTTCAATATTTTCAGAAAATTCCACACAAATCCATCCTCGTTCGTACAATTGCCATCAAGACTTTCCTTCAACGAACAATTTTGCACCTCCACGCAACTATCTTCCGAGCCTAACATAATTCAACGATACACTACTATTTTTCAATATCCAATTAAATCCACCAAAATGCCACCAAAGTCCGAAACTCCTTTGACCGACAGCGAAAAAATCTACGTTGCAATCTTGAGTCAAGTCTTCTCGGGTGCCGGAAAATTTCCCAAGTTGGATAATGCCAAGCTCGCTCAAGATCTAGGTCTTGCGACCCCTGACGCTGCCCGCGTTCGTGTACGTTCTCTCTCTAAGATCCAACTTCACACTTTTACTACGTTCAATTACTAATATCTGATTGACTAGTGGGCTCGCATGGCAGCAAAGATCAAAGATGGAAGCGTCGGTGACTTGAAGATCGGTAGTGGTGGTAAAGCCCAGAAGCGAACCAAGGAAGAGGCTGGTATCGAAGATGAAGTCAAGGTATCCAATGACGTCGTTCCTGCTACTAAGAAGCAGAAGACTCGCACCCTTCGCAAGAAGGCTGGTGGTGCTGGTGGAATGGCGGAGAAGAAGATCAAAGAAGAAAAGTTCTTGAATGGAGGAGAAGGCTCTGGATTTGACGCTGATGAGGACTCTGAACTGGTTTAAACATAATACAGGGTCTCAAAGGATGGAGTCAACTAGAGTTCTGGGGTTATCATTGAGACAGTTGGGAACTGCATGGATTTTTCAGGAAGTCAACATAATCAGCTGACGAATTGATCAATGAAACACCTAGAAATAACTCTCTAATGACTTTTACTTTGCTATTTGAATAACTGTGAGAATTAATCCATACAAGATAGTCTCAAGCCTCTATCAACCCACCCCATACCATAATCTACCTCATCCATCCATTTAAAATCCATTCCCACATCTACGACATAGCAACGATTAGCGCAATGACACGCAGTGACAATATCAAGCTTCTTATGGCGGTCTTCAAGCAATGGCAATCTGCTCGTATTGATACAAATAAGCTAGGGGAAGATCTCGGTATCAATCCTGGAGCTGCAGCTATGCGTTTGTTCCGACTCAAAGTGAGGCTCCGTACTGGACATGGGCCAACACACGCTGATATTGCACTTCTTGTCGCCATCATCAATCAGGAAGATAGTTTGCCTCGACTCAAATATACCTACTTGGTGCAGATCTCGAAATCAGACCTGGAGCTGCAGCAATGCGTTGGTGGAGGTATAAGGCACGTCTTGAGGAGAATGCTAAAGTAGTCGAACAGCAACAATGGGAGATAAGGCATTCACGAAACGACCCAGTAAGAAACACAAGTGCTTCGGAGAGAAGAACAAGTAGCAAAGAGTCAGGGGTTTTTGGATGGCCGTACAACGCAAAGGGCTGGACGGACGAGGCTTGAGAGGCTTGAGATCTTTGCAGGGTTTTAGAGCCACATGGATCTCTGTGTCAGAATGCTGGAGTAGGGGTCTTCCAAATAGGCAGTCGCATGCATGTATAGAGAATCAACTAGAGCTCCGATTTACATTTGTTTTCTATCAAGACTGTGAAATCGCTTCCACTCTTGTGATACAATTACCAAAACTTCACACACAGTCACATCTCCAAACGATTTCTACTATTATCAAAACATAGGGCTGACAAACAATCACTGTAGTCACTTCACAAAAACTACGAAAGGTGTACAAACATGCCTCCAAAGGCCAACCTCTCTGAGAAGAGTGACGACGACAAACTTCTCATTGCCGTATTCAGTCTTTTGGATCCTCTTCCACCGATCGACAACCATAAACTAGGCGCACTTCTGGGAATCAAGCCGGAACTGCTGCCGTGCGCTGGCATCGACTCAAAGCAAAAATACTCAAGGACAGCGCGAACAACAAAGCCGGGGATGATGTGAAAGTTGAACAGGCAACGGCGGCACTTGGTAATTCAACTGGAGACAAAACATCTGCTGATGCTGCAGGTATCGAACAGGCAGCCGCGGTACTCGATAACAAAAAGAGGTGCAAAAGTGGAGGACGGAAGCGTGCAGCCGCGACGGAGGGACCAAATGAGCCACCAGCTCAGCGCAAGAAAATCGATAAGCCGATCGGCATCTCTTTGAATGCGTCTACTTCGAAACTGAGAACTGGCAAAGGAAGGAAGTCAAACAAAGACAAGAAACCATTGGAAGGGCTGGGTGTGGTCAAGCAGGAATATGGCCGATTTGAGATTGGTATGCAATGACTGGAGACTGGGGATGATGGGAACATACTGGATAAGTTGTTGTCAGGAGAAGAGGCTTGAGAATCTGCAGCCACGCGTTTTTCTTTGGTTCCGAATGCATTTGCACAGGGAGAAACATAATGAAGTTATTCTCTTGTCTCAGCACCCTTGTAACAGAATCTAGTCATTGCCCTGTGTATCTATATAAATGCATGTCTACCTTTATATCAGATCTACCAAACAACCACCGCAGTTGTGAAAATCTAGCACAAAGTCTCAGTCAGTCAGTAACGTCTTGTTGGTAACTTCCTCTTCTCCTCACAAGACTAATGTATCTGATGATTCTGATCAACAGTCCCGTGTCCAAACAAAAGTCCAAGGCCCGTCACAATGTCTATCGAATCCACCGAAGATCAGAGACTTCTCGCAGCCGTATTCAAACAAATCAAGCTTGCCGAGATAATTTTAGATTACGAGCAACTAGCGAAGGACCTTGAAATCAACGCTATGCATCCAGGGAAAGCTGCGAGTAAGCGTTGGGGACGATACAAGCAAAAACATGGTCTTGTTGCGGAAAGATCAGCCAAGAACGAGGTCAGTGATGAAATGGAGAACTGCATGAATGTTACACCAAAGGTGGGAAGCGGCAAAAAGACAGGGAAGGCGGCAGAAAGTACAAACGGAGGGAAGATGGCTGCATCAAAGAAAAGAAAGATCGTCAAGGATGAGGATAAGGAGGAGGAGGGTGATGATGGCTCCGACTAGGACGTTTTACGCTGAGTAATATGATAGCTCAGATTTTCAACCAATATTGAGGAGGTTTATGGGGAGACCAGTGTCCAAGCGGGTGTTTATTGTTTCCAAATGATGACGATATCTACCTTGAGAACTTGAAGTAGGGAAATGATTCAGTTCAAGAATTTACTTCTTTGATACTATATGAAGTTTTCAGAGTGATAAATACTTAAATACCAGTGATCCATTCTTATCTGTTGTCCATCAGTCGTTTCAAATCATATATACATTAATACAAATTCTCACAAGACCATTGTACCTTCAGATTCAGTCATGTCTGGCGATGCGGAAAAGAAATTGTTGGTTTCCATTCTTAGGCAAGCCAATATTAGCCATATCGATTGGGATAGAGTTGCGAAGGATCTCAGTGTTCCCACCAAGTCAGTTGCGCAAATGCGATGGCAACGATTCAAAAAGATATTGCCTGACTTGAACCAAGAACAAAACGGCAATGTGAACTCCTCGCCACCAGTAACACCGAGAAAAAGACAATCTCCGACGAAAAGCAAAGCTCCCAAAGGCAGCCCCTTGAAGAAGCGAAAGCGCTTGAAGGTTGACAGTGATGACGACGACGAAGAACCAGAATTCAATAACTACGATGAGAAAGAGAATAAGATTGCCCCCGAGACACCAGCACGAAGTCTCCCAGGTAGAAAGGCAAAAGCCAGGTCCCGATCAAGGATGTGAGTATGCCTTATCTGGATATTTCTTATTATGCTTACTGACATCTCCCCTTTAGGCAGGTACGAGCGATGAAGAGGATGACGTTAAGAATGAGGAATCGGATCAAGATGAAGAAACTCAAGAAACCGAGTTAACTCAGGGAACTTTTACGAGTGGGGGGACTGCTGTTGATTCCGGATCGGACTTCGATGGAGATCTGGAACCATAATTAGCTGTAGTCTGAGAAACACAGTTTCGGAAAAGGAAAACGCGCTTTGTTGTGTTTGCATGTTTGATTAGGCTTGGATGATGCAGTGGGCTAAATGCGTTTGTTCATGTCCCTAGCTTATTACCATGGGAATCGAATCATCTATGACTATGCGGATAAATCAGTGGCTACCCGTGAAATGTGACTTGTCATTTCGAGGATTGATTTTTTCTCTCACATTGTCTATAAGCCCATGATAGCTGAACAGCCTAGCTCTTCATACCATCTTCGTGGAATTTATGCTCATCTAGGTAAGCGATATAGATGTTAGTGCTTTTGCTTCAGAGAATCGCCATTTCCTAAGAAATGAGTCAAAAGAATCCCTAACTACCATCAGGAAATGGGAAATTGCGTTTGGTGATGTTCATATGTGTCAGGCTACCGTAGGGGAGCAGGAATTTTTCCATTAGTTAACCTACTATCCGAGACAGAATCCTGGACAAATCCGGATAAATCCTAAGATAAGTTTGATCACATGATTTTATTCGCATCATAGATCATGTGATTATTTAATTCAAAATGATCCTGCTACCCTTGGGATATTTTTGCTCCGGTGCTTTCAGTTTACTACCTCTTTCTGAGGGGACAGGTAACGTGGATCATCACCCCATCTTGTAATTGTGAGAATCAACATGCCGGCTAACAAGGACAACTGTTGGACATTCAATGAAGCCACCTCAGCACAGCCTGGAAGAGGACATAGATATCTTAATCCTTACTGTCTCAATGATCTATTTCAATTAGCTTTGCTCTTTCTTATATCTGGCAGCGTAAAAAACCAGGATTTTACCCTACAATTACCTCTACCATCCACAAACGTTTGAAAAAGAAGCCAGCCACTTGGTAAAGCAAACATGACTACGTTATTCAACGATCTACACTTTGTGTCATTCTAGCGGAATGGATTCAATTCTACCGAGTCTTTTCATCAATTCCCCGATCTTCCCAAAGAAATCCGTCTACGTATCTGGCTACTGGCACTTCAGCCACGATCCCGCTTCATCTCAATTCGCATCAATCTCGAGCTCACAACCCTAGATCAGACTGAAATGCAGCACATTCAGTCTCGAATGTACACTACTCGCAATGAAATGGGTAATATCATAAGCGGTAGCTACTAGGAATTCGCAATCAATGAGTCCGCCGTGAATCAGATGATCAGCACAATCTTCTCGACCTGCAAAGAATCGGATGGGTGGCGCTAGACTACTTTTGTCTTCGTCTACCTCTCGCAAATAATCGCCCCATCCGAGTCAATCCTGATCACGATGTCCTCTTTTTCCACGCTGGTTATGAAATTTGCGACATCAACATGCTTGCTGCTATTCTCCATGATGTCAAAGCATATGATCCAAGATATCAGGGCCTCAACCATCTAGTCATACATGGAGATACTTTGTTTCCAGATAGACAACCCTTTACAGGAGAGATTAGACGCAGCAGATTGTATGGAACCATTGGTAGCACGAGCGGTGGAGGTGCAAGAAAACTATTTCTAAGCCATCCTATAGCCCAAGCATCTCTCACTGACATCCTCAGCACAAAAGTTCGGACTTTGTGGTGTGGTCAAAAGGTGTATACTAAAACGAGGGTTTGCGGCCCAACAAGATTTCACCAGCCCTTTATGACCACACAGTGGATGGAGACCTTACCCCTGCTGCCTCCCATGAGTACGTTGAGCATACCCTATCTCAACTTCGAATGGTTCGAGAGTGATCCCAGACCCGTAGAGCCGGATACTTGTAGAATGCCATTTGTCAGGGATCCACGCCGATGCCATCATAGCTGGAAAGCAATCGAGGAAGCCCTAGGGGTGAGGTATACCACTCCCTTTCGTGTTTATGTTTGTGTAGCCTCGGAATTAGCTCTAGCGGAACTATGGGGAGGCAGGTCCCAGCCTACAGAAAAGGAGCTCGGGTTACACCAATTGGACATGACTAATCGACGGAATGAACAGGAAGAGTGGACGACCATAATTGATTATTGGGTCAACTTCATGAATGAGAATCCAACGGCTGGCAGAGGAAAGCTTGATGAATCGTGTTTTCGAGGAGAGGAATATGACGGTGGACAGAGATCACATGACGGCAATTGGCATGTGGTTGTTTCCAGAGGAGGCGTTTGGGCAAGTGAACAATGATAATTTCGCCGAAGTATACAATACATACGGGATGGGCATTAAATCTTCAGTCACAACCGGGCTTGCTTTATTCGACCTCTCTTCGCTGCCCCCATAGATCTACAATAATTTGAGGATATCCGCTACGAGAAATAAGTACTATTCACGACGCGATAGATTCACGTGTGTCATGAACCGTTGGATCAACCACTAGTGCCTAGAATGATATCGAAGACTATATCGAAACGATGCTCTCAGCAGAACCTATTTCAAATTCTGCTGAGTATTTTGGTGAATTCTTGATTTATGCTCTGTTGGTTCATGAACTCAAGGACCAGACAGGGCATGAGTTTTGGCAGTTCGAGATCTGACTTGTTTGGATAGGGCTCTTCCTCTTCTAGGTCGGTTTTTATCAGTCTTCACATGCAGAAAAACTATTCTTGTCTACTGTTCATCAAGTGGTTTGGCAATATAGTTGACTCCTTTTTTTAGGAGGGATGAGTGGTTGTTGCTTAGAACCCTATGCATGGTTCTGCTTGCAAATTGCTCTGATAGGCGTTGTCTCTTAATGAGCTTTTTCGTATAATTTAAGGAAGTTTGAGGCAGTGTATAAGCGGAAGGAAATTTAGAATATCGTTCTATTTACCAGCGAACATGTACTTAACGGCTGAAATACTCCACTCGTCTCATCCATACTTCCCCGCAAAACCATTGATAATGCTAACCTAATGAAAAGACTGCAAAAACTTCACCCACCTTGCAAACAACATTAATGCAACTCACTTGACAGATATGATCAGCCAAAACACTTTGAACCAGTTATCCAAGACTTGATAAGAAAAAGCAAAAGGGGCAAGCTCTTCGTATCATCATCAATCAATTCTCCGGGGTTAACATCTTCCTTCCATGACACGATAGATAGGCCTCCCATACCAAGTTGTCCGCTTGAAATTATCCCCGCAATCACCGGTGATGGTTCTCGCTTTCCAAAACAATCAACTATTAATATGCTATCAATCTGTATGTATCGGCTATCACATCGCCAGTGGCACTACATTCTATTTCGCCATAGCCAGGTTCCGTCCGATCTACATCAGCGTTGTGGCGCTGATATACAGTAAAGCCGGCTGTCATGAGACTATGAGCTTGAGATCTGACCCAAACATTGAAGTCATGTAATAGCGGCCCAGTGGTAATCATAAGATTGTAAACAAGATTATAGTCTGTGTTCATCCAGGTAGCCATCTGTTGTACCTAGTCGGGGGTCGGATTGAGGTTGCGATTGGGATCTGGCTGCGACATATACATGGTGATGTTTGTCATTCCAGAGGACTGGACTTGCGTAACCCAGTCCTGCATAACGTTAGTACTTCCGGTACTCATATGAGCCACAACCTTTACAACACCTCCGACTGTACTAGGAGTGCCAACTGGAATTATGGCCACACACGTGTCGAGACCTCGAGTCAAGATTCTCTAGCCATCCTAAACTATTCCGACAATGTTTATATCAACTTCTACTTCTAGAAATCTTTTGGAAAGTTGGAAAGTCTCTTCTTGATCATGACTTCATACTCGTCCCGTTAGTATGGGTACATGAAAGGGATGATGATCTTAGATAGCATTAACTCACCAAGGGTCCGAGATAATTTTACCGAGGGAGAGCGGGGCTAGTCTGGCGACCAGAAAAAGATATTTGAACTTCGTTTTGGATGGATTATGACTTGAATGAACACAAGATCGTTTTTTAAAGGGCAGCAAAGACTCAATTGATCATACAGATAAATCTCTTGAGTAAAGACTTCGTGAAAGCTTGATTTCGAGGGACTTCTCGCTGTGTGGTAGTGATTGACGGAAAGAATTCAGGGTAAGAAGAGAACCTTATATGATAATTGACCGCTTAAACTGCCATTGACTTGAGTCTCATTACAACTGCCTAATTTTCACCACAAATTTGTCTCTGGGTAAGTTGAAGATCTCTTCAGTTTATTTATTGATAGGCTGCGCACAAATTATCTGTACCCATAAATTATCTGCGGATAATCCGCTTCGTAGATTATCTGTTAGAGGTTCTACTCACTCTATAGATTATCTGTTGAGGCTTTAAAATTACTCGTTTTGTATAAATAACCCACAAATTATTTACAAATAATTTATAGATATATAAAATCTCCGGTTTTTTTGCTTAAAATATGAAGCTATTCCTAAATTATTTTCCAGCCCAAAAGTAATCCAAGCTTAGATTTATACTAATTTTTATATTAATTATAAAATTATACTAATATTATAAATAATTATATAATATACAAATAAGTAAATATTTGTAGGTAATTTGTATTCATTCTGTAGATTATTCATTCAGATTTTTGAATTATCCACTCCGCAGACGGATTATCCGCGGACTATCTGTCGAGGCTATTATCCGCCCCGCGGGTACCCGTTGCGCAGCCTATTTATTGAATCAAAGAAGTAAAGCAGCATTGATTCACTTCCTTTAACTCCTTCCATCCCAGGCAGAGCCATCTCTTACCAACATGATTTACATGTTAAATCAGCTCTTACTCTTGTGTGTTGTTATGCGTCTTTAAAGTCAACAAACTTGACATGTTCAGTGGTCTTGGATCTATCCTTAGGAGTTTGTGAGATAGTGAGGCACGGCAAATGAAGGATCACATATGTTGGATGATATATCACGAGCTCAAGTAGAGTTTGAAAAAGATCGACTGAAGAACTTTGAATTGGTTCCATCTTTCGACAAGAGATAATTTTTGAGTTTCATTTGCTTAGCCACCGACAGTGGTGACATCGATGGCTATGCATTGGAGCCTAAGAGATAACCAATTCCGACGACGCCTGTCCGAAGATCAACGTAACGTCAAAGTTGGTGATTTATTAAAAGGGACTCAAATGTTTGTTTCTTGTTTCAGGAGATTAAGCGAGGCACTTTTTTTTCGTAGAAAGTCTGAAGGAAAAATAAAACGGTGGCTGAGTCAAACGGCTGCACAACTATTCTCGCACCACAAGTATCTCTGCAGTCGAGAAATACATCAGCATTCATTGAATCAATGCTTTGCTGCTCTTTCAAATCATCATCATCATCATCATCATCATCATTGACTCCAGATTCGAACCCTTACTATACTGTTCGTTGTAACGAAATGGCCACGGCTTATCCATAGTCTGGTTTACAGATTTATTAAGTTGCTATCATTGTACGAAAGCTAACATCTTCAGAATCCACAGATGATCACAAATCCGAAATTTCATCTGCTTCCACATGGAGCACTTTTGAATACGGCAGTGATACAAGCTGCAGTACCATTCAATCAAAACGTAGTGCTAGTCAAAGATTGCGTACACAGACCCGTCCTGGGAACAGAATCATTCGTAAGAATTGGCTTCGCATTTCTGTTTTTCTGTTTGTTGTTGGTACTTTGTCCGTCCTGTAAGTCTTACAACACCTATCCGAATACCTGGTACTTCAAATTCAAGAATTAAGTGTGATTGACGTATAATTTGGTTAACCTTGACTCTTACGCGGGCGCAACGCACAACTTCCAAGTTTCTCCTAAATAAAGCTAGCACTATAATTAATGATTGGAGTGCACCCAAAGATTTGGTGAATTTGCTGTCGCCGTGGAACCCGAATTTTACCTAGGGAATCATCTCAATTCCCTGTCATTCACATAACGACTATGTGCGTGCCGTCCCTCTCTTTGAAGCTCTTGCAGCTGGCTGTACCGGCGTCGAAGCCGATATCTAACTTCCTACCCAAGCCGAAAGCCAAGATCTGCTTGTAGGGCATAACACAAAGTCACTCACCCAAGACAGGACTCTCCAAAGTCTATACATCGATCCTCTCCTCGAGATTCTTGAGAACACAAAAGAGCGGTTTACCTTCTCGGATGACACGGCGAAGGACTGGGATGGTATTTTTCAATGCAGTCTAAGTACTACTTTGACTTTAGTTTTAGACTTTAAGTCCGATGGCATCAAACTATGGCGATATCTTTTATGATGCTCCCCTGACCGATATCTTAAATCCTATATACAATGCCACGAACTCCTACTATGCTAGTTCCTCAATCAGCAAAGCCCTCGGAACTCATTGGATCTGAGAATTTAGTTCAGCACAGGTGCATAGAATTAATACTCAAATTACTACTACGAACGAGAAAAGCTTGAAGGCGAGATATTGGAACACACCAGCTTGACCTGTAAATTTTCAGGATTACATTATAGGGTTTCTAGTGGAACATGGAATAGGAACGCTGAATGTGGATTCCTTTGGATCTGTGTTATATTTTGCTTCGTTGACTAGATTCGCGCAAGGTCGCCTTGCATGGTGAAGAATGCAGACTTCCCTACGATATATACCTTATTGATTCATATCCATGCAATAATTAGACCATCAACAGAGAAATTGACTAATTAACGTTATCGTGCTACGAGAAAAAAGGCAGGATGATTACTTCCAACTTTCTTAGGGGTGCACATATAACAGATAGATCTCCATACAAATCAGCATATAATGATCGTTCTCCTTGACTACCACCTTTATTTAAACATGCAATCCTTCCATGTGGCTTAAAAATACAGAACTCCTATCCTTCATATCCACAGAAGCTACTCTATTATAAAAATCTTGAAAGATCTTGCGTGATGTATTTTTGAACCACTTACCCTCTGTCGCTAAAATTTAGAAATTTGTCTAAATGAATCCTAAGATGTGCTCTATCGGGTTAATCCGATTCAACAGTTGGGGCTAGAAGGAACTCATAGTGATAGCAATAGTATCGCACGAGTGAGTCAGACGTAGGGATTTGGGAGTCAAACGATGTCTAAGCATAGTGTTGGTAGCAAGTTTGTTGGTGAGAGAGGGTTCCTTCAAGTTTCTGTGCTCCAGATTCACTAATTTCAAAATGAGACACTATCGCGACGAGGACTTTGATCACCGGATTTAAGAAAAATTTCCCAACGGACCATAACAAACGATATCTACTCCATGTAATGGTGGCTGGGCTTTCGAGGGATTTTGTAACATGTTTCTTTTACTTGTAAGTAGCGCCAACATTGTCTCTGCCTGTAACTTCAACTTGCTGAGTTCAGTTTTGCTGCTTTATGACAGAAAAAGACACAGTCAGTATCTTGAGTAATCTGCTAACTGATGCTTGGAAATCAAACGTTGGAGGACTCCGAATAAGAAGTAGACTGATGCTTGAAGCCCTCATACCGACGAAGTATATAAGGAGAGCGAAAGCTCGAAAATTCAAAGATATCTAATCACCATCATTTACTGCTTCTACAAAACAATACCTAACGCTGATATCTCGACGAAATAATCGCTTGATACCTTTAGAGAATCATCTTACACATAACAAAATGCATTACTCCACTCTCTCTACAATACTTTCTTTCATCGCCTTCAGCCAGGCTTCTACTATCCCAACCATTAACGGAAGTTATACCGATATTGTAGCCCGCAACGCAAATCACGTCAGCTTATACACTACTAGTGCCTGCGCGTACGTCTTTCTAGTTGAAGTCAAGGAAGACAAGTTCTCTTTTCCAGTCTCTCCTAACATGTTTATCTAGAAACGAGGATAAATACTACAAATGGCTCGGTACCGCAACATGCAATTGCATTGCAGTCGATCTGAGAGCTCTTAGTCTCTATACTGACACTGAGCCTCTCCAACATACTATTGCATTCAGCGATGGCAATTGCCAAAAGATACCTGGCATTATTAACAAGGAAAGGTGTGTTGGGACCGATACCTTGTTCGGTGATGGAGACATTGGAAGCGTAATGTTCTGTTTACCGGCTGTTTGTGATGTTTTTGAAGCCGTGAAAGATATACTTGGTGATGTGGCGACAATTCTTACGGCTTCGGAGTCTTTTGCTGAGGTCGAGGAGTTTGGGATATGGCTTAGGAATTGTCCTGGGAAGATTTGGTTGCGTTGTTTATTTTTCATGTTAGTAAAGCATGATTGAAGTTGAATTTACTGTTCGGTGGCTTTTGAAGACATTGATCTATACACGAAATTTGATTCATAACTATACTTCACATCTTTTATTGCGAATTGGGACTTTCACTAAATGCTTTGCTGAGACATTATGTTGCTGTCATTGAATGGTCGCGGTGAAGAATAGGGGTCGATGAGCAAACTCGTTAGCGAATAGTAATCCCGGAATGTGTGCTCCTCAGCAGGTACTTGTAAAATCTCGAGCGTAAAAATCTCATTGCATATCGTATGATCATACTTTGACCTTCTATTTGTACATTGCTACAGACAAAGAGGATAATGCCACTGACAGAACCGGCCAATTTTGAGCCACAACCTTGCAATGAGCATCGGCAGATTAGGGAAAATGGCTTAAGCCCTCCGTGGAGAGATTTATAGAAACGGACTGTTCCCTTCACTAGGTATAATTTAAATCGCTTTCACAAGGGATCAGAGCGAGAGCGCAAACAAAAGTACCTGTATCACGTAGCATTGGCCAAGTTAAGCTAGAGATAAATCTCCTACCATATACCCTTAAGTAATTATGTTCAAGGTAAACTTTGCTAAAGCCGCACATCATCTAAAGAGCAGATACGATTGTAGGAACTAATATACTCAAAAAGAATATAGGCCAACGATGTTTCAGTTTGAAGCAATCTATTACATTTTGTCTACATGCATTTCATTCTCGCTAAAGGAGGATCTACACATCGCTTTCTCTGACGACTCAAAGCCGAATAACTCAAGGAAGAACGCAGTGAATTCATTTTCATGGCACATCAGAGACTCTGGTCAGGACTGCTTAATATTATGAAAGCATAAGATGAGTGATGGCTACAAGTATCTGTAGGCAGAATGGTCAATAATTTGGACTTTTTCCGGGGAACAGTCGAATTCCACCATCTCAGCGAGGTATTGAAATATTTTGTATCATTGAACTTAATTCCATTTGGGGACTTTCTGCCACGGTTATGAGATACAGCAAGCAACTACATCTATAGTTACGGGTCTTTATATGGTCGAATGAAATGTTTAGTTGAAGTCATCGTATATCACCCTAAATGACGTGCATCATCTCTCTCTAGTTTTCACTATTTTTTTCTGCGGAAAACCTACATCACATCTACCTTAGGTTCTCTTTTGCAAGTCAAATATAAAATTGAAAGATTTGTGGTCTCGTTTGTGAGATCTAGCGAGCATGCTAGAATTATGGTGTGAAATTTCCATAACGTTGGACGAAACAGCCTCCAGTACAGAGTTCCAACTATAAGTGCGACTATCTTGGTAAGATTAGATATTTGCAGTCTACTTTACACGCCTTCTCCTTTGAAAGCAGAGTTCTTTGCGCGATAGAATGAGGAACTCTAGACTTAGATACATTTATAAGTTTGATTTCATCCATGATTCATTACAATCACGAAGTACACGTCAGCTCAAAGATCTGTCAGTTTGGCGATGGCGATGCTAAAATTCGCAAGTCCGATCTTGTTATCTACTTCTCAACAGTTGCTTACAGCAAGGATCGCTCCAATCTAATTCACCGAGCATCCTGTCTTTCTTGTAACCAATCCTCCGGTCAATTCACTCCGGAGCTGCCCCTGAAGTCGCGAAGGAACAGCACCAACGACGTCACACAATCATAGAATCCTAAAAACTACATCATCACACATGGTCACTTCATATAAATTCAAGCAAGTTTGGAAAAGTCATTCAGGCATTAAAATTCCCACTTTAGAGAATGGGTATATAATACGTTTGGAACATGTCAAAACCCGATCCCAATCTCCCAACCTCCCATTCTCCATGCACTCAAAAACTCCTTCGAAACATCAGAATCCGGTCCTAACCTCCCATGTCCCACACCGAAGAATCCAAAGATCCTATTCCCAGCAACGAAAATATCGAAAAGCCAATTAGTTCCTACGAAGAACTTGTTAGCAGCGGTTTCTAACCAAGTTGCGTCCTCATGGAAGACTTTTCAGAGGATGAAAAGATAAAATATTCGAAAATAACGAAAGGTCGGATCATACAGTAAGCTGCGACTACATCAAGCTGCAATGGGGACGGACGACATTATTAACCGTTTCTGCAACAAATACTCATGTAAGAGATGTTTATCCACCAGTATCCCTTGTACTAACGTCAGAACAGGAGGGGTTGAGGAAATAATAAAGGTGGTGTGAACTTACAATAGTGCCAATTCAAGATCACCATGGATCTTCGCTTTCAGCGTAATCTCTACCTCGAGATTCAAATCCAACCGTAATCTAAGTGTATCTTCCTTGTCGTCTCCCTTCTTCTCACCACCACCACCACCCAGTACACCGCCAGCGACGTTACCAAGTGTGTTTCCAACTTGGTCGGCAGCTCCCCCAGCGGTGTCACCAACTTGATTCAAAGGAACCATATCACTGACACCACCGAGTGGTCCGCCTCCGCCTCCACCACCTTGTTGCTTTTGCTTTTGCTTTGCCGCACGACGTGGGGGTGGTGCTTCTTCTTCTGATTCTTCGTCGGAGGTATAATCATCGGAATCGGTTTCCGATTCGGATTCAGGCTCTGGTTGTCTCTTTTTGGGAGGAGCCTTCTTTCCTTTTGTGGCAGTCTTGGTGGCAGCAGCCTTTGGTTTGGCTTGACTAGCCATTGTCGAAGTAGAGCTCTGCGAGAGACCTCCGTATGAAAGGGTGTTGGAAATTAAAAAACGGGAGTTTGGATTATCCTAAAAGGATATGAAGAAAACGAAAAATGTTTGTTTGAATAAGGAGAATGAGGATATGAATGACTCGATCCTGCGTTCTTTAAAAGAAAGACTGAGTGGATTTCTCGAGAATCGAACCTGCTTGCGCTGATTCCACGTCATCATCCCATTCGATGCAGCCCCCCCTTGCCGGCCGAAGCCGTTTTCTTGTTTTTCGGGGTAATAGATTGTAGCTAATTTCTCCAGGTCCTTCTTTGGCAAGTTTTCACCAACCATCCAGTGTCAAAGTTGGCAGATTGCGAAACAATTGTTCTGTGGCTGGGAAGAATTTATCGATCCTAGTGGGTCAGATACAAGCATTTGCAGGCATTATCTCGCGCGATTTCTCCCATGTTCGATTGAAAAAGGCAGGATTTCGTCATATTGCATGTAAATTGATTATTTTTGAATTGTTGTACAGGATTAATCCTTCAAGAGTTCGAATTGGTCGAGTCTCGTGCGTGTTTGTAACATGAATATTTTGGTCTAGGCTGTACAGTGCAGTGTGAATGGGAAGACTTCGGATGGGTATCATGAGATTTTCATTTTGTGCTATGTTATTTTCCATGGTGAAATTATTAACCACCCTCCTTTTTCCTGTCGGCTGGTACTAGCTGACTATTCCATCCGCACATCATACGCCGTAGCAAACACACTTCTTGAATTTTCTTTCCTGTGGGCAGACCGGAGAAATCCCCATTTCTATCAAAATATATCTGCCATAATCCAGGTTCGACCTCCACTGCGACAAATCCTTCATCTTCTTCCAGCGTCAAATTTATTTCATCCTCTGACCATTCCCATGGGTGTGCTAAGTTGCCCACCGTATCTGCTCGCCCACCATATCGTACCTCTAAAGTATTTGAGTCGACATATATCCAATTTAGCATCGGAGGATTGTCTTGAATCGTCGATACTAAGCCATGTTCTTCGGTGCCTGGATACATGAAATAGTAACCACAAAATCGATGTCCTTCTTTCGGCGCATCTGGGTGGTTTAAATACATCTGCAGATTGTTCAACATCAGTACTTTTCTTCTATATTCACCATGGTTTTGATATAAGCACATAGAAACTCGTGGTAACATACCCTATTGTCGCGTAGAACGACTTGGGCTTCTTTTTCATGAGCAGTCTTTCCATCCAGAGCAAAATTCGCTGTCATAAAAAACTTTGCCTTGTGCTTCTGAGCCAAATCCTCCTTCTTCTGAACATCTAATGCTTCAGCAGTACCGATCACCGTCGGTATAGCATTTACTAACATCAAAAATAATGCCATCTCGTGATTCTCATCTGACTTGTTGTCCTCAAGGTTGAACGTTATCGTGAATTGTATTGTCGTAGTAGTTATTGTATGTATGGTATGTTTTGTGGAAGTGAAGTGGGTACTGGAACAGTGTATAATTAATTGAATTCAGTGTTAAAATGGTGCTGTGGGGACGTAAGATGTCGATTTAGTTGTTCACCAGCCACAACTTATCTTTTCAAACCCCATGTCTAATGCTGGATCAGCCCCTCACCATTTCAGTAGAAAAATGATATCATGCGGATGAAGTCATGAAACCCGAAAGCAATACTTGTGCTAGCCTCGTGGAGGTAGCATTTGTGGCATTTTGAAGAACGATGTATTAGTGACTGGTGGTTCTTTTTGTATAGGCTGTACAGCTACTGGTAGTGTTAAGTTTTCATACCCCAAAGACCCTGAAAGGTTTTAGGAGACAACAGGAAACATTGACTTATTTACCATTGTTCTTGTTCGAGTACCATTTAGCCTTGATTTTTGAGAAATATGCGCCTCTAGACTCGGAGATTCGAATGGGTGGACGGATGGACTCGACCTTTTTGGTACAAGTAGCAGCCCTGTAGCTTTTCATGGCCCACATATACACGTTGGTTTGTCAAAGCCCACATTTATCACCAAAATCCTTGGGATAAATCATCTAATCCAGGATTCTTGGCCTCCATTGTGTCCAAAAACACAATAACCCCCTGTATCTTACACCTCTTACAAGGATAAAAATGAAGGCAGCGGTTATGTCATAGTTGAGTTGTTTGAAAGCTTGCTCCATAGAATTTGGCATGAATTTCCAAGTTTACAATTTTCGACTTTCATATAAGACAAAACTACAACGGTGCTAAGTGAGAATTCTCCTCGTACCTAACTTTGAAAGAATTTCTTGAGTCTGTATTTTTGACTCTCAGCTATATACCCTTTTCCTCACGTACACGGGCTTTCCTCATCTTCTAATCCTTTCCTACATCACCTAGGTACAACTGCAAACTCCACAAGCCAGAATGCCGCCAAAGGAGAGTACACCCATTGGTGGTAAAAAGGGAGCCCCAACTCCTGATGCTACCCCTGACAGAGATGAAGACAACGAGCAAGTAGAGCAAGAAGAGGAAGCTCAAGACGAGGAACAAAACGAGGATGGGGAAGAAGAACAAGATGGAGAAGGAGAGGAAGAACAAGAAGGTACGGAGCAGAAGGCACAGGCATCAGTAGAAGACGACAATGAAGCTGGTAGTGATGAAGGAGCAGAGACTGGTGCCGAAGCCACTGCTGACGAGAATGAAGGCGGCGAAGAAGCTCAAGACGAAGAACCTGAAAAGGAAGTAGAAGAGAGCGAGGATACTGCCGTTCACAACGAACCCGAACCTGAACCTGAGCCAGAAAAGAAAAAGAAGAAGCATCGCCGTCGTAAGGTCAAGGAGCCTGAGCCAGAAGAGGAGGAGGAAGAAGAGGAGGAAGCCCCTGCACGCAAACCCCGTCGTAAGAGGAGAGATCGTCCTCAATTCCTTGAACAAGATGGCGGAAACGATTATAAACAACAAATGCAAATGATGCAACAACAACACGAACAGCAAATGCAAATGATGCAAATGCAACAGCAACAACAAGGTGGCGGTGCTGCGAAAGATCAAGGAAAGCAACCTTTGAAGTTGAGATTAGACGTCAATCTCGAGATTGAGATTGAGTTGAAAGCCAAGATTCATGGTGATTTGACATTGGCATTATTGTACGTTCTATCCCATTTCCCAATTCCCATCCCCAATTCCCCATACATTTCATATGTCATCTTCAATCCTACTCCGTGTAAATGTCGAGAACAAGTACCTCTCAGTACAATTTACGAGCTCGGTCGAGCTGATTATTTTCAACAGGTCTTAAACGCGAAAATTATCCATTCTAACATCTACCGTGTTGCTTAGTTCTGGATAGAGTTGAGAGCAAGTTTGCTAGAGGCAACTGGATTTACCATGCTTTTTCGTACATTTCTTTGGTGTTACTGTATCTATTCATGATGCGGGCTGCGGTGCTTTGGGTGTGGTGGGGTTCGGGATATTTGGATGATAATGAATGGCATTGTACTTTTAGATTTAATGATCAAAAATCTTGGATATGGAAATTTATGAGATACCTGCATTGAGCGATATATCAATTGTCGTGATTCTATATGCTACATTAAGAACAAGGAATTTTCACAGTTATTGTGCTTTTAGATTGTTGAATTTATTGTTGATGTGCAGGGAGGTTTTGCTGCGTAACAGCATTTTCCGAGAGAAACTAAAAAATTGTCATCACACAGCGTTCCATGAGCCTCAATCCATCTGAACTTTAAGTGATCTTCTAGCCTGTCCACGGAATGTCGTAATCACAATAGCGTAGACTAGCCTAACGGCACACGCCGTTTCCACGAGTCCCTCGAGCCCCTACTGTCAAGACTACTTGAGTCATGTCTCAAAGAATCTTGGCAGTAAATCTGAAAGCAATCTCAACTTTTTTTGGTATCAAACTTACGGGATTGCTTTGCCGTCTATCTTGATAGAGACTATCACGAACCGTCAGCTTTTCCACGCAATTCATAAACGGAGTGTTAATAGAGGCTTCTACGGAGTACGCGCCATGTTAATCTCACGCAATGAAGCAACCGCTAGACTTTTCGTTTTTTTCACCCCGCCCTCGGCGTTTGATCCTAATTGTCTCGTGATTTTGTGGCTTGCAGATTGTGTCCCCTCGCAACATAGGCAGCTTAGGTAAAATGAAGCAAATTAGTTGGCAGATATCCGGATTGGAATGTTGATACCGCTGGACCCTGTCGAACTTCCAACTTTTCCTACTTTCATTTTGGGAACCATTGCTAATTGCTTCTTCGTATTGCCAACTTATTCCCTCTGTAGGTTGTAGCACTGCTCAACGCTCAGAACGTGAATATGAGATCTTGAGCGCTTCATCTCATGTTACTCAAATGCAAGAGTCATTTTTACATTCGAAAACCTCTCCGAATGACTTGTATTACAGAAACTTTGTCACTTTGAGTAAGGTTTTGGATTGTTGCATTCGTGAAACTTTAAAGTAAATATCTCCAATTTTATTGTCCGTTCATTCATGTGAAACATGTAGACGATTGGCTTTGCACTAAGACTGGGACGACAAGTTGTTTTTCCTAGCTCCATCTTTTCACGTGTAACTATTCATAAACTGTGGCTGGTGAGTGCAAGTATTGCCGCAGACTACTACCCTTGCTAGTTCCACATGAAGAAGAGGTTGTAAGCCTACATCATGTGTCAAATCTCGATGGAACATGGGGAATCATCAAAGTGTCAAATATGCTTCAAACATATTATTGCTTTGTCACATTTGCTCCGAGACAATGAAACACTTTGATGATTCCTTACCTGGTTACAGTGGGCTCGCAATTTGTCTCGGCCATCGGACGCTTTTATGCCAACGACAAATCGAAAAGGGATCGATGATTTCTAGGACATCATAACAAGGCTTCGAACAATCCCCGTAGAATTGCTCCTATTCGATATTGTGGCGTGTAAGCTGAAGGATCAAATCCAATTAGCTTCCTTAACCTACAAGGTTGCATGTATATGATGCAAGTTGCTATAGCCATCCACTCTGGGGCCAAAACTTCCTTGTTCTACTCTGGGGAAGCCTGTAAGCTCTTCTAAAGTTGACGCAATGATGTATTCCAATCACAACTTAGGTCATAGTTAGTCCCAGCCTTGGTTTTCGGGATACTTTGGAGACAGTGAGATCATTCTTTGCGCATCTAATTACTAAGATGAACACAGCATTCAACTTTAGTGTCATTAAGTGTAACACTACTGAAGCCTCTATATACCTGTGAGAGGTATCCGTTAAACTGTCTCCTCACTTTATTGTTCGTTATAAGTGGACGCTTTTAGTCAAGCAACGCACATCTCGCTACGATCCAGATTCCATCCAATTCACATCATCTACAACAGCAAAAATCGAAGAAATGGCAGACACACAAGAAGCACCTAAGAAGTTCTTGAAGAAGACAAACAAAACTCCAATCAAGAAGAAGCCTTCAACTCCTAAAGCAGATACCTCTTCAGTACCTAGTGAAAAGCCATCAGTTCCAAACACACCAACTGTCCCAAAAGATACAAGTGATGCAACGAAATCCGCAAAGCAGGGCTCCACCACCAAAGTAAGTTTCCTGCTCTGGTTTATATGCCTCCTTTCGCCGACCGTTATACTCCTCTTTGTTTCCGGACAAAATTCCTGGCCTATACCTCTGGTTCCACCCAAAGGGGGACCTTATCAAAGGGATGAGAAGGAAGGCAAGAGGAAAAAAGAAAGACTGAAAGAATATTCGATTCGAGTCAGAAGGCTAACATTGAAACAACGTAGGCCAAGAAATTCGCACCTAAATTACCAGCAACACCACCAGCTGACAAGAATATACCACACCCTGAAGTGACATCTCCTTCGCCAGCGCCAAAGTCCCAAAGCAAGCCAAAGATCAAGAAATTCAAAAAGCCAGTAGAGAAACCTGAGCCAGTTCCTGAACCGGAGGAGCAAGAGAAAGACGGTGAACAAGACGATAACGATGAATCTGACAAGGAGGAACCTCAGCCCGAGAAGCCAAAGTCTAAGCTAAAGAAGTTTTCAAAGGCTACGAAGTCTGAGCCAGAGCCTCAGCCTGAACAAGAGGAGCCAGATCATGACGAGGAAGTAGATAATGAGCCTAAACAAGAAGAAGAGCAGCCCGAGCCAAAGAAAGAGGCTTCTCGACCAAAGAAGTTTTCGAAGACCAAGAAATCTGAACCAAAGCCAGAGCCCGAAGAGCAAGACCAGGAATCTGAAGCGGAGCCTGAAGGTGAACAGGAAGAGCCAGAGAAGGTAGAACAAAAGGAAGAAGCACCTCGACCAAAGAAGTTTTCAAAGGCCAAAAAGTCCCAACCCAAACCAGAATCTCAAGATCAAAACGAAGAATCCGAGGGTGAGGTTGAACAAGAAGAACCAATCAAGGCAGATAAAAAGGAGGAACATGACGAAGGCATTGAAATGGCAGATGGTGAGGAAGACGGGGAGGACAATGAAGATGAAGCTGAAAATGAGGGTGAAGTAGATGACGATTCCGATGTTCAAGATGACGAGGAACAAGATGTCAGTGATGAAGAAGAGGACGAAGAGGGGGGAGATGATCAAGAAGAGGAAAATGATGACGAGGAGGAGGAGGAAAATGAATTGGCTGAAGCTATTCCCGATGTCCAGCCAGATGTTATTACCTCAGCACCTCCTATTCCAGACGACTTCAAGGGAAGCGTCGAGCCTCTCAAGTCAGTAGCTAAGTCTAAGCCTACTAAACAAGTTACAAAGTCTGTTGAAGACGCAAAAGACTCGGTTCCTGAGCCCGCAAAGGAAGCTGCTAAACGACCAAAGAAATTCCTAAGCAAGGCTTCCAAGGCCGCCCAAAACGCTCAAGGCCAAGCTAATGGTGTTGCAGATGACAGCTCCAAGAAGGCTCAAGACACTACCGATAGTGCACCTGGCGCTGATAAAGTGAAGGATACTGCGTCTGGCGCAACCGACGAAGCTAAAGATGTTGGAGATGAAGCATCTAAAACATCCAAGGAAGGAGTCGACAAAGTCCAAAAGTCTACTGAACAAGTTCCAGATGCTGACCAAGCCACCAATGCTGCTGATAGTGCAGCCTCAAAGGCTCAAGGTACTGGGTCGAAGGCAAAGGATAGTGCTGAGAAGGCTACCGGTGATGTCAAAAATGCTACACAAGAAAAAACGGATGATGCATCCAAGCTCGGTAAAGATGCTGGTGACAAGGTCAATGGAGTTGCGAATGATCTGAAGGACAAATCTTCAATCACCATGGATGGTGCCCAGGACAAACTCGACGATACCAAATCAAAAGTCAATGGAATCGCCGGTGACGCCAAAGACAAAGTTGGAAGTGCCAAAGATGACACGCAAGAGAAACTTGGCGGTGTCAAAGACAGTGCTGAAGAGAAGCTTGATGGCGCTAAGGACTCAACTGATAATGTCGAGGGTGGCTTGCCATCTACAACCGATGCCCGAAAGACTTTGGGTGATAGTAGCGAGAAAGCTAAGGGTGCATTGGGAGGAATCCCTAGCACAGATAAGGCTACTGATGCTGTAAATGGAGTCAAGGATCAAGCTGAGGGCGCGACAGAAAGTGCCAAGGATGTTCAAGTTAACATTCCAAACATCAATGACATCGTCGGAAAGAGTATCTCTGTTATCAAAGACGGATACCTCTTTGACGACCAAGGAAATGTTATTGGTCAAGCTACTTCCAACTTTTCAGGCAAGGCAATCGGTTCATTCAAATCTAAGGAACTCGAGGCCAGAGCAACACACCAAGTCCAATCTATTGGCAACATTGAGAAACCAAAACTCGATGGACCAACATCTGGACAAGACGCTGATGCTGGTGCTGGAAGTAGTCCAAGTGAAATTTTTTTGGATGTCAAAAGTACAAATGAGGGAATCAGTTTGCAAATCAGAATTCCTACTGCGTTTATGATGAGACCTGGTAATTAGGGCCGTCGATATGGTTATGTTAGGGTAATGTTTTTGGAAAGGACGGATATGTCAGGCTGGATGGTAAAGAGTATGGATGGATGGGTAATTGGATGGTTTGGTATGGTTTGATATGGCTTAGTTTTTTGAAGTTTATGTTTCATTAATGGTTTTAGCACACGGAATCTACGATTCAAAAGCCAGCGTGTCATTTCAGCGTTTAATATTTATGTATATGTAGCTCTTCTGTTTTACTAAAAATAAAAATTGATAATATTCGCATCTCAATCTAATTTTCCAAATTCACTTGTATTTCGTGATCTTACTGAAAACTTGGACTTGCTCTACGTCTCGTCCAAATGGACAAGATGATGGAAAATTGCTATGTTCTTCATCCAACACGAGTGAGTAAGTTATTGTCCCGGTGTCTATATTTTAAACCCCTTTCTCCATTCTGGGCTTGAATAGGCGCATCTAGACTCTTGTAAGTTATTTGTGATTCTCGCAAAGATAACTATGCCGATAAATCACGGGACAATTAACACAAGAACATAAAGCACGAAATACGCGTAAATTTGATTCAATACGAGAATCATCAACTGGTTCTAAGAAACAAGGCAATCATGGAGAAGAGAGGCTTATGAAAAACTCGCTCACCCAATCAACCACCCCACAATGCATCACCTAAATCTTGAATCTTCAAATTACACCTACATATTTACCCATCCAGAAGCAATTCAAATGATGTAACCAACCAAAATAACAAAAAATAATTTCCAGGCATGAATCCTGTTACCGAGTCTATAAAAACAAGAACATGTCGCTTCGACCCGAAATGAATGGGAAGGCCTAACCGAGATGTCCCACCAATTTGCATGTGGCGAGTGCTTTGCGCGGCACGGCCCAACTAAACTTGGTCTAGTGATGTAATCTCCGCGATGTTAATATATCGCACGCGTCTGTATGGTTATAATCACCACGCACATTTTTGATAACAGGAAATATTCCTTGCAATGTGGCTAATGGAGGACGGAGCGATTAACCGTTTCGTGTCAGAATACTCAGTGGATTCAAGGGCTCAAATCCAATGGAGAAGTGGAGACACTATATCAAACCAAGAAAAGAAAAATTGTGGCTTGATGTTGGTGGCGTCCGAACTTTGAAGGAGATGTCTCCTGCAGCTCGCCTTCCTTGTACTGTACGTACTCTATTTTAGAGTGAGACAATGCAGTTGAAGGATTGAGCACCTGGTTCTTGGAGACGCGTTTTGGATGGCTATTCGGGACTAGAATATGTCGGATCGGGAGAGAGTTCTATTACTTGGTTGTAAAACTGGGGGAAGCTTTGAGCTTCTTAGATATTGCATGCATCATTAGTTTGATGTCATGTCGATTTCAGGAGAAACCCATAGTTACGAATTTATGATCTTTTTGGGGTTACTTTTTGACTATACCAAGAATAAAGCTTGTAACTGCTGTTTTAGCAAATCCATTGTCGACCAAAGGTAGTCTACCGATTCGCGATGCATCAGGGTTTTCGAGCACAATGTCGCGGGGTGGTACAAACTAAGTTGACCAATGACGAGCAAGTGTCGACCTCCACTACATTGCCATGGCGAATTCCATGACGCACATTGCCAGGAAAGATGCGGCTTTCCAGCTTTGAGGAATTTCACCATGGTGTGGCTCACCATCCCAGACATTTCAATCTATCAGCTCCAAGTGGCTGACGTATAGAGCCTGGAAGCTGATACTGTGCAGCATCATAGCTCCCAAAATATGACGTACTTACATCATAGGCAAGCTATCCAAGCTGCTTTACTTCCAAGTAAACCGGAAATTAGCAGTCTGATATTCCAATACAAGAAGAGCTCACGGGTTCTGTACGAAGCCTATCTTTTTTTCTGTATGACCACCACTTTTGAATAAACAGTACAACACTATAAACAAAAATTATTTCCATTTACAAAGATACCCGAACAACCGATAATGACAGACACCGAAGAATCCCCAAAGCAAACTTCGAAAACTCCCAAGAGCACATCTAAGACACCAAAGACTCCTACAAAGACTCCTGCAAAATCACCTGCACCAAAGAGTGTTAAGAAGAACGTTCCAAAAGCTCCATCAACACCAGAGCCAGCACAAACCCGCTCAGAGCCTCCCGATTCTCCAGAAAGAATGGCTCCATCGGCCATCTCAGACAATGAGGATCACCTCACCAATGGAGAGCAAGAGGATTACGAGGAAGATGATGAAGGAACCGAGGAGAACGGTGTTGCAGAGGGAGAAGAGGAAGGAAGAGAGGAAGATGATGAGGAAGCCCCAGTAGAAGAAGAGGAAGAACTCACTGAGCGCGATCCAAATGAAGATTCCCGAAATGTTGGAGAGGCCACAGACAAGGCTTCTCAGGCTTCTCATGCTTCAGACGAGAAGGAAGTTGATGGTGTTGTCGATGGTGTTCAAGAAAAGGCCACCGAGGCAGGTGAAGATGTCAAGGATAAGGCTTCTGAGACTGGCAAAGATGCCAAGGAAACTACCGAATCTAAAGCTGGAGATGCTAAGGAAACCACAGAATCTAAGGCTGGAGATGCCAAGGAAACCACAGAGTCCAAGGCCGGAGATGTCAAGGACACTCTCGAGTCCAAAGCTGGCGACGCAGAGGAAACTGCTAAGGATACTGGCAAAGAAGCCGGTGAAATCGCAGAGGATACTGAAGCTGCTGGAAAGGTTAATGAAAAGGGCGAAGTCATTGATGACGACGGAAATGTCATTGGCAAAGTCAACGAAGCTGATATTGACGCATCCAAACTTAAGGACAGCATTGTCAATGAGGAAGGAGATGTCTTGGACAAGGAAGGCCAAATCATCGGATCCGCAGACCCAGTTGAGGACGCCGAAGATGCTCTGGGAGAGGTTGCCGATGGTGCCAAGTCACCAGCTGACAGCGCAAAATCGGGTCTCGAAGGAGAGAAGCCAGATCTTAAGGACGTCACTGAAGGTGCGAAAGAGAAGGCTGACGATACCAAATCCAAAGCCGACGATGCTGTTTCGAAACCAGACGCCGATCCAGTTGAAGAACCAATCATCCCACAATCTAAACTCAAGGGTCCATTTGAGATCCAAGAGTCGGGTGAGATTCTTGATGCTGATAAGAAGGCAATTGGTAAACTCCAAGATGATGTTGATCTCAAATCTTTGGTCGGTAAGCAAGGTGTCAATGTTGATGATGAGGGTAATCTTGTCGGAGAGAACGGCACTATCATTGGAAAGATCGATTTGCTCCCAGTTGATCAACTCCCCATTCCAGAAAGCGTTAGAGAGCGCATCATGAACGTTGGTGTCGCAGAAAGCGCTAGCCAGCTCGGAAGCAAAATCGGCTCCAAGGTCGAAGGCTCCAAAGCTGATCTTGGTTCAAATGCCGATCTCGGATCTCAGGTTCCAGAAGGCCAAGAAGTCAAGGAGGGTGTTGAAGGCGCCGTTGAAGAGGGCAAAGAAGGCGCCGAAGGTGCTGTTGAAGAAGGAAAGGAAGGTCTTGAAGGAGCAACTGACGAGGCTAAGGCAAATGTCGAGGGTGCTACCGATGAGACCAAGGAAGGCGCCGAGGGTGCCGTCGAGGAAGGAAAGGAAGGTCTCGAAGAGGCAACTGACGAGGCTAAGGCAGATGTCGAAGGCGCCACAGAAGAGGCCAAAGACACTGCTGAAGACGTCCAGGAGGAAGCCGAATCCGATATCCCACCTGTCTCCATTCTCGAGGGTCTCAAGGTCAACAAGTCCGGAAAGATCGTCGATAGAGATGGAAACCCAGTTGGTCAACTTGTTGAAGGTGATGCCAAGAAACTTGCTGGCAAGAAGTGCGACAAGGAGGGGAAAATCTATAACGATACTGGTAAGGTCGTTGGCCGTGCCGAACCTCTCCCAGAAGCCGAAGAGAATGGATCATCACCATTTGAAGACTTCCCTGGTGCAATTGTTGAAAAATCTGGCAAGATCGTTTACGAGGGTCAAGTCATTGGTCAAGTCGTCGAGGGTGATGTCAAGAAGATGATTGGCAAGACTGTTGATGAGGACGGTGATATCCTTGACAAGAACGGCAACGTCATTGGAAAGGCGGAACGCACCGAAGAAGAACCAGAGCTAGAGCCAGAAGGACCAGATTACTCTGTCCTTTTCGACAAGAAGGTAAACAAGCTCGGAAATGTCACTGATGACTCTGGTCGTGTTGTTGGTCGCATTATTCAAGGTGCTTTGAAGAACATGATCGGTCGCCGATGTGATAAGGACGGTGCCATCTGGGGTGACAGCGGAAAGAAGATTGGTCAAGCTGAGCCAATTCCAGAAGCCGAGAAGGAAGAACTCAGGGAGCCAGCACCATTCGAGGACTTCCCAGATGCTACTGTTGAGTCCAACGGCGATGTTGTTCACAATGGCGAAGTCATTGGCAAGGTCATTGAAGGCGATGCCAAGAAACTCAAGGGTAAGAAGGTTGACGCGGATGGAGATATCTTGTCTGCTAGCGGAAACGTTCTTGGTAAGGCTGAAAGATGGGAAGCCCCTGAAGCCGAACCAGAGCCAGAAGTCGACAACTCTTCCCTGGGTGGAAAGCGTGTCAACAAAGCCGGTAACGTCGTCAACAAATCTGGAGAAATTTACGGTCGCGTTGTTGAAGGTGATATCAAGCAGCTCGCTGGCAAAATGTGCGATAAGCAAGGGTTTGTCAGAAATGAGGGAGGAGATATCATTGGAAAGTGCGAGGTCGTTCCAGAGGGTGACCGAGAAGGTTTGAAGGAAGGTCCTTTCACAGACTTCGACGGTTGCACCGTCAACAAGGAAGGTAAAGTGGTTACCTCATCTGGAGAAGTTGTCGGTCGATTGGTCTCTGGTGATGCCAACGTTCTCTTCGGTCGTGCTGTTGATGATGATGGCGAGATTGTCGACAAGAACGGTAACGTCCTTGGTAGAGCTGAGAGATGGAAAGAGGAGGAAGTCCAAAAGGATGTCAGCCCAATGGCTGGCCGCAAAGTCAACAAGGAGGGTAATGTTGTTGACGAGAACGGTGATATCATTGGTAAATTGACAACTGGTGATCTCAAGCTCTGCGCGGGCAAGAAGATTGATGACGATGGAGATGTTGTCGATCAAAAGGGTAACTCACTCGGACACGTGACTCTTCTCGAGGATATCGTCGAAGATGAACCCGAGCCAGAGCCAGAGGCAGAGCCTGAACCAGAACCAGAGGTTGAAGAGCCTGAGGCAGAGCCAGAGGAGACCGAGGAAGAAAAGAAGAAGCGAGAGGAAGCTGAACTCGATGAAAAGATTTGTGGTCAAATGACCTACTGCGTCGAAGATGCTCTCGGAAAGATCAAACCAGTTCTGAAACAGATTATCTCACACATCGACAAAGCGGAGCGTACTCCAAAGGATGAGCTTGATGAAGAGGACCTTGTCAACAAGGTCAAGCCATTGATCGAAGAAGGTGGCCGTATCCTTTCTGAGGCTAATTCCTCCATCCGTGCTCTTGACCCTGGTGGAAGACTTGCTTCTCAGGCCAAGGCTAAGACAGCAGCTCATGAAGCTACTCCAGCAGAGTATCATCTCGCTGATTGTCTCAAAGAGGTATGTTTTCTCCATGTTTGATACGCTCATGACATGAACATTTACTAATCATTGTTTATAGCTTACCGGCACTGTCAGTGAGACTATCGAGAATGCCAAGAGAAAGATTGAAGGCATGCCACACGCCAAGAAGGAAATCAATCCCCTGTGGAACCTTCTTTCAGAGCCGCTTGCCCAAATTCTCGCCGCTGTCGGCTTGCTTTTGAGTGGTGTTCTCGGATTAGTCGGTAAATTGGTAAGTCATCACGTGAACTTATGTACCCCTTTTCAAAGCAAATACTAACAACTTTTACAGCTGAGTGGACTTGGTCTTGGCGGCTTGCTTGACAACCTTCTCGGAGGTCTTGGTCTTAAGGGACTGTTGAACGGTCTTGGACTTGGAATGGTGGTTGATTCCATCACTGGCAAGAAGAAGAAATAAATGATTTGACGAATCTTACGAGTGGCTTGCACTGCAAATTACTTCAAAATGTACATGTATTTTATAGCGATCTTGGATATTGGTAATACCGGTCTGTAGTTTCTTTTGTCCTTAATGTCTAGCGGACTTTTTGGTTCTTCCTGTAATTTAGCAAAAATTTACAATGGCGTTCACAAAATTTGAGATGTTTGAGATGGATTTCAAGGTGTGGTTCCTTCAGTCCATGTTAAAATCTTAGTATCCAGATTTAAAATCTGAATTGGAAAGTTGACAATTTCTAAAAAAATCTGGTCGATTTGCAACTCATCTCGCCGTTGTCTTTTTCGTGTTCGCCAAGACTGCAAAATCACGTGCATTGGTATCGATATCGCCTTCCTTTGTTGACAATACCTTCTTTTTCATCTCGCGTCTATCAATGAAGATGCCATGAGCGTCAAAATGAGGGCAACGATATTCCTTGTGTATCGAGCTGAAAATGACGTACATGGCGGTAAGGATGGATAAACTTTACGAGATCATCCATGAAGAAATGCATGTGAATGTGAATGTGAAAGTCTAAAACCCTGAATTGGTGGTTTGCGGTTTCCATGATTTCTAGTGACTTTCTCACACTGACGACCTCAAGATGATCATATCCATATTAATATTTGAAAACCCATATTGCCGTGGCTGATCTTTTTCTTTATCAAATTTATTAGTAATTAACTCGTACGACTTTACAATGAAGCGAACGCTGCTCCTATGTTTTATCCATGGGTTCAAGGGGAATGGCGAGACCTTTTATACGTTCCCTCAGGTAAGCCATGGATACGATTCATAAATTGAATAGAGTTATTGACCTTAGAGATAGACCCTTCAGAAAAACGTCGCAGATAAGCTACCAGACGATGATGTTGAGCTTCTTGTATATCCAAAATATGAGACGAGAGGTGACCTGCTGGATAGTACTGACCGATTTCTTGAATGGTATGTGGTGATCACTAGAGCTTTTGAGTTATTGTTTGATTGACTTACTTTCGTAGGCTGAAAGCAAAGGTTATGGAAGTTCGGAAAGAGAAGACTGAAGCTCCTTGGCCACCAAATGACAGATCGGTAGGAGTCATCTTGGTTGCACATTCAATGGGGTAAGAAGCAGCTCTATACCGTGATCCTGCGTTTACTGATAACGGATTCAGAGGTTTCGTAGCATCCGATGCTCTATTCTCCATTCTTAATGACCATCATGACAAGGAGGACGAGGACTCCAATCATGTCATATTCCCTCTTATCCAAGGAATTCTAGCTTTTGATACCCCTTACAATGGTCTCGCTCGTTCCATGTTCGTCTACGGTGCCTTCTCACAATATAATAAAGTAAGAGCGAAATGCTCTCCGGTTTGATAAGTACTGACTTTGATGCAGGTTAGCAACATCTGGAATGTAATGTCGGCGGCATCTGCTGGCCTTATTAGTGCTAGATCTTTAGGAACTATGACTGCGAAACAAGCTGCCAGACAAGCAGGGAGCTCTTTGACAGCTACAACCAGAACTGCAAGTCCGGGATGGAAGATTTGGGAAGGAATTGCAGTAAAATCCGGTGTTGTAGGAGCAATTGCGGCTGGTGGTGTGGCGGCATACAGAAACCGCGAGACTATCATTTCAGGTGTTAAGAATCTGAATAAAAACTCTCTCAAGGATGGAGCAGAACAAGGCTACGATGCATTGGGACAAGGGCTCGCATATATCAATCGAGATAGTGTCGGTCAATCTTTCGCATGGTTGTCAAGCCACCTCAAATTTGTAGGTGCGTTGATGAGACAAAAAGAGATGGTCCAGAGACTCGAAAGACTTTCCAAGATTGAAGGAGTTGGAATTAGAAATTTCTATACTTCATTGGGTGAAAACGGATACTGGACAGGTGGATATTTTGTTCCCGAGAGAACTTTTTCTGCAATACCTGCACCAGGACAAAAGTCTCACGATCTTTTCATTCGAACTGTTAATGGAGCAGTCGAGGATGAAGTCCAAGCCCATATGAGTATGTTCAAGCCACAGACCAACGATAATTATGATGCAATGTCGGAACAGGCAAGAGATCTAGTTGTTGAATGGTTCCAAGCCGACAAAAAACTCGTGGATACTCCACCACCACCAGAGCCTTCTCCAGATGCTACACTGGCGAAAGATGCTACAGATGTACAGACAGAAGATAGTGAGATGGTAACGGCTACAGGCTTCGAATCAATTCCCAATTTAGACATGGACGGAGTCGACGACTCGCCTCTTGACATTGTGGCTGCCGCTGCCGCGATTCCACTACCAGATATCCAAGAAAATGACCTCGATACAAAGCAGCGAGAATCATACCTCCAAAGTCTTTACCGAATTTCTCAAAGAGCAGGGTCCGGTGTATCTGGATACGCATCTGCTGCGGGATCTGGTCTCACTGGCGCAGCTTCAACAAGCTTGAAGGCCGGAGCAGCTATTCCCACTTATGCATCCAAAGGAGTTAGCTCTTTCTGGAGCTCACATAAAGCCAAGACGACAGAGACTAATGGACCTTTGGAAAAGGAAGAATTAAGTGAATCTGTAACCATTAATGCTGATGATGATGTGAGAACAGAGAATAACAAGGGGTCTGTTTGGACATTTGGTTCATTGTTTTCCAAGAAGAAGAAAGGGGAAGAGGCTGAGGAGGCTCTTGATGAGAATAACGATGGTAGAATGGATGAGTCAGAAGTAGATAATCATAGTGAGTTCAGTCAATTCGTTGCAACATGGTCAACAATCCCCTAACTTTTCCTAGGGACTCAACTGAAGTAATTTCTTTTGGTCTAAAATGTTTGGAAGTACGAGTATAACGATTATGTAGCATTGTTTTCTTGTAATGATATTTCATAATTATGGCAAATATTCATCTGTTCCCTTTCACTTGATTGAAAAAAAGGGGTTTCTCGGCTGTAACGTTGGCCCTCTAATCACAGTGATAGTGAATATTAGATAGGTAGTTTGCTTTCATGTTGTTGGCATGCGGCCTCACTCAATATCATCATTCAAGGATTCATAGTTTAATATTTCGACAATCGAAATTCAAATATCAGATTTGCGACAAAATAACTAACATCCTTCTTCATATGTGCAATTACCACCTTACATGATACTCAGGCGAAGAAATCCCATTACATATTGAAGGGTGAGATCTTTACACAATGAAACGATTGTGGTTATAGATATGTACTTGATGCTTTGACAGCTACCATACTAATCTTGTTAGCTTCTAGATTTTTTAAACTTGACGCAAGGCTGAGTGAGTTTGAGGTTGCAATGGTTGGAGCTCACGGAGTATGCTTAGGATGGATCTTATCTTATCGACATCTTATCGACGTCTTCATCAGCTCCATATCATATCCGTCGAGAGGTAAGCTTGCCTCGGATCTCGGATATACTCGGTCATAGAATCCTACTCTCTCGAAGTCAATCTGATATTCATTCACGAAATGAAGGTCTTCCGGCTGTTTGTCAATCCATTCTTCAACTAGTCTCCCTTAAAGCCATCCGATGGAGGTCAGGATGAATGATGGTTGGTGAGAGCATCGTTTGCTTGCTACATTTGCAAGGTTGCAATTGGTAAGGCAGGCAAATGTCGCCTCACGCAGCTGTAAAGTCTCCAAGAGGTGTAGTATTCAGATCATATACGTGTTTTCCGATAAAAGATAATTAAATATTAAATCTAATTTCTGAGGACTATTACTAAGCTTTTTAGAATTAGAAAATAAAGAATTTTAATTAAAAGAGAATATAAAAAGTTCGATCGATCGCGACTATACTATGCGGCGTAACATTTCCTTCTTTCTATATTCTATATACTATATATAATATATTATATACTTTATATATAACTTACTGTCTATTTGTAATGAAATTAGTGTGATTTTTTTTACTTTAATAATTATCTTTTTAAAATATTTAAAACTTCCTATACTAATCTATCTAAATAAGATATTGATTATTCTAAAGCGTTTATTTAAATTGAAAATATATTAATAGAATTATGAGTGAAATTTCATTTGAATAAAGCTAATGAGACACAAAAATGACTTTTTGGGGGGGGGGGGAAACGAGTTATTAAATCGGGTATATTATAGATCTTACTTCACTATCTTGCCTCGGTCGAGACGCGTGCGCTCAATTGTACTCGTCGCGCATTGCTCATACGATTGATGCATCTACAAATCCAATCAATCTATTTACCATAAGATAGTTCAGCTGGATATTGGTTCTTGGATACATTCTCATCTTGTTCCTCTTCCAACTATACCTCTCAATTTTACACTGCATTTTGATCTCACTCAGAATTTGTCACTTTGACGACCAATCTTGACAGTCGTGATGGATTTGCCTAAAGTGCGACTCATCGGAACAATTTATTGTGCATCTTTGGAATAGAATAATTTGTCGGATGTAGCGGAATTAATTGTGAGTGTTCATTTGTTAAAGAAATGTTCGTGATTCCAACACGAGATAATAGAATCTCAAGGATGGAAATAGAGATACTTTTCGCAATGGTTGCCATTCCGGGCAATACGATGGAGTAGCAGTGATAATCAGATGTGAAGATGCTTATAAAGTACGTGAGACTGCATTTTCAGCTGACATAGGCTTACGAAAATAGTACACTAGTCGTTTTGACACCGATCTTATCAAATCTCTGCCGAAATCAGTCAAATTCATATGTGCTCCTCAGGTTGGTTACGATCAAATGAATGTCAATACCTGCACTATTCGAGGTAGAAAAGATGGCAAAGTACATTCTTCGAACGATTTTTAACACATTCTTACAGGCATCGCTGTTTCAAACTCCCCGGCGAATATTGGTAATGCAACAGCCCATGCTACTATATATCTTTTGCTCGGTGCTTTACGTCGATCATGGATTTCTTCTTTGTCCATCCAAAATGGCCAATGGCGTGGGTATGCTAGGCTAGGACATGATCCGGAAGGAAAGGTTCTTGGGATTCTCGGCATGGGCAATGTTGGTAGTAGTAACCAAACGTGCCGCAGCGTTTGACATGCATATTCAATATTACAACCGAAATCCCTTTCCCGTGGAAAAGACACCTCCAGGCACTAAGTACGTTTCCTTTGAAGAACTTCTCCGGACAAGCGACATCATTTCAATACATCTTCCACTCTCGGATGATACTAGGTACACGCTCGGCTCGAACGAATTTGCACAAATGAAGGATGGGGCCATTCTGATTAATGCTTCGCGCGGGCCTATAATTGATGAGCAAGCTTTGGTTGATGCACTTGAGTCCGGTAAACTATACAGCGCTGGTTTGGATGTTTTTGAGAATGAGCCTCAAGTCGTCCCAAGCTGTTAGCAAATGAGAATGTTGTCCTAACTCCGCATATGGCTGCTGGCACTGTCGAAACAATTGTAAGCACCAATACTTACATTTACTTTCTTAATCTAACGAGAAGTAGCACAAATCAGAAGCCCTTGCTATGTCTAATGTTCGGAACGCACTTCAGCATGGGGACGTTATTGACGCAAGTTCGTGAACAACGAGCTGAATAATTATTAAATTCCTAAAATCGGTGAGAATATTTGGTGGCTTGCAGATGATTGCCGTATGAGAAAAGCTTGAATATTGGCACAGCTGTTGACTATTAGTGGTTTCTTCGTATTTCTTGCAAGGTAAACAAAAACAGGGTAGACGAATAAAGAAATGACTTCTAACGAAAGTGCATGATACGAGGCTCTGTGCGGTTTGTAAGACCATAATTATTCAGGCTGAATTGACGCACTTACAAAAGAACCAATTTCTCTGACAAATGGTAACCACCTATGGTAGTGTTCAACTGTGCTTATTCTGAATCCCAGGAGCATCGCGAAATCTTCGGTGCAAGACCATAAATTTCCATAAATAAATCTACAATTCCTCATTTTCATATATTTCTATTCTTGAATCAAAAACTCATTTCGATTAGAATTTTCGAAGACTACGGCCCCAAAATTCGAGCAGCAAAACAGCAAAGATGACTCGCCTAACTTCGACATTCTTCCTCCTTACGATCGCATCTCTCTCGATTGCTTCTCCACTGAATCCCGCTGTGGAAATCATCGCCCGGACTGCATCACCCCAAGACGATACACCAACCACAACTGACTTGCCCACTACAACTAGTACCTCTTCAACTACCACCACTCCCTCCGCCGCAATAGCCACCAAAAGTATCGACGGTTGCAATGTTCAAGGTACAGCTGACACAGCACTTGCCGCACGATATTTCGGGTCAGCCCCTTACGCCGATATTCTAAAATGTCAATCTACTTGTCGTGTTACAACACCATGTATATCATATTCATGGACGCCCTTGAATGGTAACTGCACGTTGTATAATTCATGGATGGATGACTTTAACACGGGTGATACTACGGGTTATGTGGTTTTGAGTGATGATAGTGGAACGTTCTTTTCGGATAAATATCCGAGTGACGGGAGCGATTTTTGTTACAAGGCTATTTGAAGAAGCATAGGGGAGTCTAAGGGAATATTTTCTGGAGGTAGTATGGGTGGATATATAAGTTACTCTAGAGAATAGGGTCTTCGAGTCCATCACATACTGGAAAAACAGGGATGGAATTGACTCGAACTAGATGGCCTATGGTCTGCGGAGAATATTCGATATCTTTAACAAGAATCTAATCATGATCAACGACACGGGTCATTCAGCGGAGCCTCATGGCGATTTACTTTGTTCTTTTTCCATTTCATCGTATCATTCAATCATCTTTTGGCGGAAATGTGGAAAATGTCCGGAAGATCACGTGAAACTCACGTTATTTCTTCTCATGCTCCAACCAATCACTCGCCATACTAGTGGTAAGCAAGGCTTGCAACAAGAATATATCACATAGATTTCTAAAAGCAAGTTCCTCATGAAAATCTATGTGGCTGTGTCCTCGGTTCAACCTTCCTTGCCCCGTTTGAGACCCTCTTTCATCACGATCTCATGCATAATCTAGATCCCGTACCCATTCTTTCTATCAATTACGTCAATTTCAATCCCTCCCTATCATCAGACTACCCCACCATTGATGTCTGACAGGTGATACTCATGACATCCGCCCTGGAAGACCGTTGGTTGGACCCTCCAGCATCCCAGTCATTTTTAATATACGATCTACGTCAGGGTCTAACATGGATCCCAGCCTTGATTTTTGGAAAAAACAGGAAAATCCTGAAATTGCCATCGACCCAAGATCGAGAAGATGATGGAAGTGATCCACCATTTGTGGCGTCAATATGCATATGCCAACACGGGGTTTAGACGAGAATAATTGGGTTGGAGAACTATATATCTGGGGACTTTCTGCCGGGTAATTTCTCTTGCCCAACGTCAACAAAGAAATCATCTGCAAATATACATACGATTTTCAAATCTCAAATCAAAATCAAACACTAAGTCCCTTCTCCAAACCAAAACAAACCCAACACCTCAAACCAAAATAATCATGTCTCAAGGTGGGGGACTCCTCGGCGGACTCGTCGGCGCACTCGATAACACTCTCACAGGCGGCGCCCAAGCCAATGGACAAGGTGGCCTTCTCGGCGGAGTTGGCGGTGCTCTCGGCAAGACAACCGAAGGACTCGGAAACACATTGAACACTACTGTTCGCGGCGTTGGTGATGTAGCCGGTGGCGCAACAAACACTGTTGGCAATGTTGCCGGCGGAGCTACTGGTGCTTTGGGTGGTGTCCTTGGAGGTGCCACTGGTGGAGGAAGTGGTGGAAGTGGTGGTCAACAATTGAACGCTTGGGGAGAACCAATCAAGAAGTAAAGTGTTGGTCAACATGTTACAACGCATTGCTTGGGAAATGAGTTTATGAATTGGTATGGATTAGATGGGAATACTTTGTACAAGAGTGGAATTGGAGCGAGGATCGTTTGTTTTTACAACACAAATTTAGTTGGTCGTTGACCTGAGAATGGTTTTCGATGTTTTTGAACTGTGGATTACTACTTTTGTGGTCGCAGTGCTGTTTTAAGATAATGAAATTCATTACTTGTTTCGTCATATCATGGCTTTATAATTTATCGTAATCGTATCCCATTTGTTCGAGTGAGTGAGTGGAATTTGCTATGTCATTCCAAGACTTTAGAACTAGTTTGGATGACCAAATTCGTGCTGAATCTGTTCAATAATTCGTTTCCTCTTTTTAAAGCGGAATTGGAATTCTTGCCTGAATATCAAATTGAGGATTCCGCTGAACAACCTGTCATTCAATAAATTTAGTATATTCAGCAAGAGCAAGAACGTGAATCCTTCAAAAATCATCTTAAGTCATACAACCTTTGAAATAACATGCTCAACCACAGTAATTTACACACTATCAGTAAACCCGTACAAAAGATAGCTCACAGAAAGTGTACGTGGGCAAGTGGGATTAGGCGCGCAAAGACCATCGCCCTAAAACAATCACTCATTAGTATGCAATACATCCTATATATTCAGTAGCACCACTTTCCTTCTATGAACTTAACCCAAGACAATAATCGAGGACTTCACCACTCTGGTCTAGATTTGCGGAGAGCTGAGGGATGGTCTTGTTGTTCACAGTCGCCGAAGCAACATATGATCACACCTCAGAGTCATTACCCGGCAGCCTCGTAGCATTCATATTGGCTTGGTATTTATATAAAAATCTCATTTTGCAGATTCTGTCTCATAATACGCAACATTGATAGAGTTATTGATAGATCAAAATGATCAATCTTGGCTCAAAATGCTGATCCAAAAGAGGGGTGGTCCGAAACTGGAGTACTCAACTTCAAACCGAGTGCCATTATACCTGCGGAACTATACTATAGCCGTTTAAATCCCTTCTCGTACAGTTACAGACTGTAAGAACACAATTGGACGAAGTGACACAATCTACAGTATTCATGCAATATTTGCGTTTCTTTCATGAGGTGTATACAAGTGGTAGTAAGAGGGGGACACATTTTTTAGAATGACTAGTAACTCCTTCCCAGATCTAAAGTTGAAGTTTCTTCTCCAATATCATTCCACGTCTACATGCCGTCTGGGCCTATCTCCCAGGCCACTTCTTCATATCTCCTCAATTTGCTTTCTCCTCTAGCGCTTCTGGTAATGAGCAATGGTGTGGCGTATTTGGTCTAATTGTCCGAATCTTGTTAAATATTCAATCTATACGACCGGAAAGCGAAAAGCTTACTGTCTATAGGCATATTGACAAAAGTATTTGCTGAAGGATATCTGGGGCAAAAGTATGCTATCTGCATGTGATTTGTCAACATTGATGAATATCGGTAACACAAGTGAGAAAGAGAAGCATAGGCGAAATGATATATGGCAGGGACTGCTCAAGTATAATGAATAGGGGTGGAAACTCGAATTCTCTGTCATCTGATCAGGTTCGCTATACGTTGGGGTGTTAAATCCGCAAATGGATCGAGGATAAGTGAGGACCCACGGCATCTTGATAAAATATATGATTGTAATGCTTTATTTGACTGAGTAGATAATTATACTTGCAGAGATGCAATATATACATATATCTCAGTTCTGCTTGGATAAAACGCTAGACAAATGGGCTATACTCGGCAAATTTATCCGAGAATTGCTCCCCTTGGGGACAAAATCACCAACTGTTGGAGAAAATTCTTCAAATGTGGGGCAAGAAAAGGCTGTCTGAGTTACAAACTTCCTATCTTGAAATAGATCTACTCCATGCCACTTACAGCACATAGGTAGATTGCAGGGCACGAGAGCATGTGGCATATATACTCGAGAAACCGACCTTGAGCTAAGCTTTGTGCGGTTTAAGCTTCCTCGCTTGAGTTGAAATCTGACTCAACTAATTGTATCAATCGATAAAGCGGATACCAAGTTTTACCTGGAAACCCGTTTTTGTATATGCTAGGAAATTTTGTCTACAGGGTCGTAGAATTAAGGTGAGTCTCTCGAGCTGACATTGTATGCATCCGACCAGATCCAATTAAGCCTGGTTCCGCTACTTAGTTCTACTCAAGCCCGCTTAATTAGCATCATTAGGCTGAGCACTTTTCTTAAAGTATCGATAACGACAGTCACGCCCTGGACGGAAAATACCACACATTCAAGAGGTACTACCTTTTCGAAATTATACATCAAATCCATTGATCAATATTCTGATTTGCGATTTCAACAGATTCCTTTGAAAATAATGAGTTTTAGTACCCATCAAATTTTCCGCCTATTGCTGTATGTTCAGTGATACAATACAGTATCAAAGTGATGAAAATTTTAACGGGTTTGTGATCCCGGGGTGATCCAGCGCGAAGTTTTCATCCGTCCAGGGCTTGACAATCACCTGCCTCTCTGTGGAGTAGTGGCCTGTGCCATCCAAAGCTCAGCTAACTTCTCGGCCCGAGCCACCTGCAATCCCGCATGAGTGGAGACAGGAGGGAAGTATCGAACATCATACTTGAATATCCTAACAGTACAAGTGGGGTCTTAGTAGAGGTCGTCGTGAGTGAGGCAGTATGATTTTAGTGTTCCATAATTTAAATGATACTCTTTTAGTGCTAAGTTATTCCTGTTTTCCACCATAACTTCAGTGGCATGCTTAGCATTGACCAAAAAGTGGTTCTCGATTCAGACATTGGCTCAACATAAGCGAAAAAACAGGCGGAAGTTGAGTACTATTCAGAAGGACTTTGATAATTTGAATCTCTCTTCAACATTGTATTAAATGCATATAGTCCTACTGTGTATATAAAGAAGACTCAGATTTTCGTTTAGTCTTTTCAGAATTCAGTATTTGACTCAAAATGAATTCATAGTTTAATTAAGAAGTCCTTTGCAAGAAGACTCAATTCCCGCCTTTTATTTCGCTTACGTAGAGATTGGTTACCAAACCGTCGGTAGCGAGATGAATTGTGGGGGCTGAAAAGATCCATTTTTTTTGGCAGCGAGAATGCCCAACACAAAAGGACCGAAAAAAAGCCAACATATTGATTATATCCGAAGCCTGCTCACTTGAAAGCGTGGCTGTTATTTTATCAAATACTGGAAGCTCGTCTACAATATTGTCAATTCATCACAACTCTATTTGCTACACTGCTATTACCACTAGAAAATTCTCGCCAGTGCAATTACGATTTCACACTTTTCTCCATATCCATACTTTTACAGTTCCATCCCCCAAGTTCAGTGTTTTCCTTCACCAATACACCGATATGAGGTTCTATCGTACTTCTTCTTGGGACTATCAATCCTTGAGATGGAATTGAAGAATGTGATCCGATGATAATTTCTCGAATTCTTCTTTTCCTTTCGATTTGTCTTTCTCCTTAGATTTTGAGGGAGGAAAATAATACACATTTCTCGATTCGGCGAACCTGGGAAGATAGATCGGGTTTTGAGTGTAGCATACAGGAGCTGTCTTATCGTCCGCGCCTTTAAATAATGGAATCCTCATAACAATCAACTCTTCTCCTCGTGTAACAAAGAATAGTTCTCTATCCGTCCACGTCAGAGTATACGATAGTCGACTGATACTCATGGAAGAGCTTTCTCCCAGTGGTACATTTATCTTGAATAACAATCGAGGAGGACTCCCAGCTGTTTTGCGAGAGGACAAATGGTGGGTTGAAACTTGGAGACTAAGATTCATTTTAGGTTCGCTTTCTATGGGACGGCCGTCGAATTCACCACACGAGGAGAATCTGGTCTTGACGAAAATGTGACAGGAGCGATATGTGGAACAGCAAAGTTCTCGGGTAAAGTAAGTATTGCTTAAGTGATTTGTGAACAATATTTTGCCATCCCCCAAGGGCCAGACCAGAAGTGTTGCTGTTAGGTGAAATGTTGGAGGGGAGTGGAATATCCCGCCAGATACACGTACCGAACGTGGAAAATTGGCGTTTTTTCTTGCATTGTGGTGTCAAATATTTGTAATGAAACGCGAGGTGCATCTTCTCCCAGGTTTTTGTTCCCAAGGTAGAGAATTTCTAGTTCATGTGCCTCTTCATTATCCACGGTATCTTCATCGTCTTCGCTATCACTGCTTTCTGAACCACTATAAAGACTTTTTGAGTAATTACTAGCGACAGACGAGTCTGTATCTTCGAGATCCGTTTCCAAAAGAGCAAGTTTTAAAACATATCCTGGAGCTCCGGACGAGATCATCTCGATATCAGAATCATTACCGAAACCCCCTATTTCCTCTTCGTTTCCCGATTCGTTCGGTTCATCCGAGAGATCATCGTAATCTGGAATGTCTGGAATATCAGAGCCCAAATCGTCACAATCATCCGATCTTTGATCATCGGAATCATCGAAATGTTCAAAATCTTCATTGAGATCTTCAATATTGAATCGCTCATTGGCCCAATCGTTCCATTGATCATCATCGTCTAATTCATACGAATCGCCTAATGCTGACCCTTCACTCCAATCCGTCTCAGCTGAATTATCATCGGAACCGACATCAGACGCGACCATTGGATCATCCAACTCTTCAATAGTTCTCATGTTTATGTTTACCAATATCAATGTCATCTTCAAATACAAGTGATAACATAGAACTGTTGCTCGACGAAGAGCTAGACCGACTCGATTGCGATTTTTCGATAGTGGTGGCTGGAGACTTTGAGGCCCTAGTCACAGCTTGTTCCTTGCCTTTGGCTAGCTGTTGAATTATTCTCTGAGTTATATATTCTCCATAGTCAAGAATAAGATCTTCTGTTAGCTGTATGTCAAGAAGATTTTCATGCGAAATGTTTTGTCTTGAGGCTATGGCGATATATGGTCCAGAGTTGGTCATATCTTCGAAATATAGTTTTTTTCTCAAAAACATTGATAGGTGTATATTCGCCATTTTGTTTAGCGAATAGTTGTGAGTCGATTCGCAGGTACTGAAGATCAGGGGTCAGAGAAACTGGAATAGGGCGCCCAAGAGCCCTTTGGCTGACTGGATGATCGTACAAACACCAGTTCATGCGAGATGCATTAAGTTCTTGCGATACTGTAAGCTTAGGACGATGAGTACCTAGTTTCCACTGTTGACAAGTAAATTCAAGCTCTCCAGAACCGCTCTGCCTATTCCAACGTTAACAACCCTAATTCAAATGAGAAGAATAGTATATGCACTTACAAATTCTCTATCTTCAATACCACCATATTTTGACCCACGAGATCAATCCCGTATAGTATCGAGAATGTATCTCCAGATCCTGCTCTTCATTCGTAGCCTGAAATCTGAAGTCTTTGTAATGACTTCGACCACGTTGCAAGAAGTTCTTAGGACCTATAGAAGCCCAAAAAACCCGGTCAATTTCACCGAGGTACCTACCTCCCAAATTTGTAACTCTGTCCAAAACATGATGGACACAATCCCCAGTATTAAAGACCTTACCTCCAATAGACAAACTTTAAACCTATAGGCATGTGAAGAACTGTGGTGAAGTGTTAAAGCTCTGTACTCTCGAGCATATTTCAGGAGTATATGTAACTCCGTCAAGATGCTTGTCCTGATAGTTCGTAGTATGAGAGAGCAAATGGTGTTCCATTACGTCTTCGCCTGTATAATCCTCGAAAGTGACCTTAGATTAGATTAGTAGCCGCTAGTAACTTGGTTGCCAGAGATATTTCAAACAAACTTTGGCCATGACTTCCTCTGTAAACTCACATGCTAATGTCTCTGATCTACTCAAACATTGAGGGTGTTTTACGAGGAACTGTGGAACAGAACCGTGTGTGAGAGTACATGTTGAGATTTTGCCATGTGCGGTATCAACGTCCTCGATTTGGACTAGAGGCTCACACAACTTTAAAGCCATGCTCCGAAATAATCTCTGTGACTTATCAACATTGTCACAATCGCATGCATCAAGGATTGCAATCGATTCGCATAGCTCGTCCAATCGCAGCGGCCGTCGTGCATAGACAATACATGCTAGGATTTTGCTAAGGATCACACTTTAGTGTGATTTCCTTTTCATGTATGTTGTGAGATTTACGAAACAAATGGTTTTTGTGATGCCTCGATTTTGTCTATTTTATTTTGGTAGTAGTTCTCATAGTCTTTGGGTAAACCCTCTTGAACTTGATATTGCACAGCGGACAACGTTACTGCACTAGGAACAGAGTCTAACATAAGTGATGCCCATAAGAAGCATCCATCTGCTTTCTGGCGAAGGTCCTGTAGTATTAAATTTTGATATCCTTCATCAAGATCCAGACTATCAAGCTTCAAGACTGACTTCGACAGATAAAGCTCAATATCAGCACTGTTTGTGTCCTCAGTAACCTCGATTACTGCACAGTCTTTCAGAAGCTTCTTAAGATCGGTTAGGTCCTGACTACTGCACCATAGATTGAATTGATAGGACTTATCACGCGTAAGCTCGGTGAAAAAACTCAAATCATCCGACAAAGCTTCCCATCGAGGATCAGAGTCGCATTCCTCGTCCAGAGACCGTCGAGAAATAAATAAGATGGAGAGAGACGACTGAAGCTCATACGAATAAAGGTTTTTACGTCTCCGATAATAAACTTGTTAGCTGTGTGAAAGCATGGATGTCTTCAGGCATGTCTTCGAGGTGCGTCCATAAGCGATTGGCGAGCTGCTCAGCTATAGCGCAATATACTTGAAGAGATAAGAAGATTTCATCAAACGAATAATACTGATGCAGGGAGCACAAAGATAAATTGGTCTGAAATGTGCTTTCTGTAAAGGCGGTTAGAACAGATTTTCCTGCTCCGGGCACCGCCCTAACCCAAAGCACAGGACTCTTTGAATCTGGCTTCTTCCAATTTTCAAACTCCTCATGAGAAAAGAGCCAAGAGCATGTGTCAGGGCTTCGTTTCCTCATATGCTGTTCTTGACAGCGAAAATTGCTTTCACTAAGAGTTGAGTGACCTCGTAACCAATTTCTCACGTCTTTTTGACGCCCAGCTGCATTCTCTATTAGCCAATTGTACATTACATATTATTCGTTACACACATATTTTTCCTTGCAATGGCTCTCAGCTTCATCTCCTCCAGTTGTTGCTCAATGAATGCACTTTATTGGTCTCGAGCGATACATGCCAAACGTCTCTCTTCTGCTGCATCCTCTCGCTCACCCTTCTGAACAAGTTCTTGACAACAGGAACTAATTTACTGACCCGGTCAGCATTCTTTTCGATGTCCTTAATGATTACATCTAATTTTGAGGTAATGAATGAAGACAATGCTCTGCCCTTTCTATTGGCAACTTCAAAATGTTAGTTAGGAGGCACGTTGAGATACTACGAGATGCGGACCGCATCGATGACATTCTTTTTCCACTCGAATCCAAAACCTGACCACATCACTATATGTCATTTGAAGTAGTTCTTGCATGGTGTTTGAGTCTCCAAATAATTCCTCAAATTCCGTAAGCACGTTGAGTTGAAGAGTAATGTCTTCTAGTTGGTTCTTGACATCATCATGTAGATTCGGATATCATATTGAGTATCGATGACGACCTTCATGCGCCCCCAAATGATTGCTGTCGGCATAGGATCCGCATTACCTAAAAGTATAAATTATATATTCGTTTATCCGATGATGTTTAACTTACTCATAGTATCAACCACACCCGAATAATCAGCAAGAACTGTAATCACTGGCCGTAACACTTTCCTAATGTTCCGCGTTACTGCAGAATCTGTGGGTTCTCTTTCGAGCTGCTTCAAAGCGTTGTTTACATCCTGCTTGGAAGGAGGTTTGGGTGAACTTTGCAGGTCGGTGATCAATAGAGAAGTCTTGCTCTTCTTTTCCCTCCGCTTGATGTACTCCCCAAGAGCACGAGTAAAAGGCGATGCATCATTCTTCACTTGAAGCTTAAAGAATACAGCTTTTTGCGGTGGCATCTTAGGCTCTGGAGGCATAGCGATTTCTTTCTACCTCTAGTCACACCGTTTTCGTCTCATTAAATTATGGGATATACAGACGCTGTGTAATCATGATCAAAATACATCGAAGGCTCGGGTATTTCTTCGACTTTGATAAATTTATCCTTGTGGCTCAACATTGCAGGCAAAAACTTTACCGGCATGCAACGAATCAACGCGAGAAACCAGTACAGGGCATAGTGTTAGTGCTGACATGTCAATCTTGTTGTGACCTTGTGAAATCCTTTCAGGCTCGTTGCTGGGGTGGTGTCCTTGAGAATGGAGTAGCTGAAGCTCCCAAGTGACGACGACGAACAAGAACGTGCTAGCCTGATTAGGTATATAATGTATTATAAATACGACGCCAGAGCCCCAAGGGGTATGGCCGGTCCAATGGTAACCATGTCCATTCTTTATAAAATCCATTTTTCTGACGACGACGACTTCTGCCATCGATTGACACATATCAGCCGTAACAATGCTGCAAATAATAGCAATGCTAAAATAATTCGATTCTGTTCTCACAGGAGAATTAGGATGAAAGACATCATTGTGTTGTATCGTTTTTGCTGAATGAGAATTGAGTTCGAGGTGTACTCGAAGACACGCTGGCTCTGGCCTCACGCTGAATTTAACGCCTGACACCTAAAATAAGCTAAATCGCCGCCAATGAATGATAAGCGACCAGCTTCATTCACTAACATCATAATCCCCCTCTGCACCTCTTCTTCACCATGTATCACAACCATGCCACTCTTATTTCCATTGGGCTCAATGAAATAATATTGATAACCCCCAATATGCATGTCCGCATGAAATGTAGGCTCAATGTGGTATCAAATCAAATCGAGCGATTCCTCGTCTATCATTCCATCCCCGAATGCTTTTTTTGATTCTTGATTCCCCTCTTCTGCTATTCTTATATTTTAGAGTGGACTTTGCTTTACGATAGACTCACCAGTATAGACAAACTTGCATAGGGTTAAGTATGGGCGTCTTCTACTTATTCAGCGCCAGCGGATGGCCAAACTGAGCCTCCTTCAATCGGAATTAAAAGGGCAGAACAGCTCAGGATAGCAAAGCGCAGAGGCTCTTGCGTGTAGATCAAATGTGAGTGCAACTTATATTCACCCATGATATAACTTCAGAGCTGACAAGATTTGCGAAACAGTTATAGCAGGTACGTTTTTCGATCTCCCTTCATTCACCGACCATTACCAATGTAACCACAGAAAGGACCAGCAGACACACTTCGTTAAAACTGCAAAGGTTACTGTCAAACCAGATCGATTTGGAAAGACATCATTGTTAGTACGTCGCATCATATCGAAACTAGGCTAGTTGTGCCCTACTCAGCGGATTAAACAAATATGTTAATGGATGTAAGGTATGCTCGCGGTAACGGAGGTAGATATCAAGCCGGTTCTACTGTAAGAAGTACTTCTGGAGATATTTGATGATGTCGAGGGACTCAGTCTAATAAGATCCCTCCTATGGTTCGTAAACTTCTGTAGACTTTGGCACAAATGCTTATACCAAGCAGTGTTCGCCCGAAATACATTTCCATGCCAAAGATGCCCTAACATCGAGAAAAGAAGACGAGAAAGAGAAAGACGATCCAGACCAAATTCTGATCAATGATATTGGTACAGCGCTGCGGTTTACAAATGAAGATTTTGATCACCAGATACAAAGTTTAAAATCGCTGCTTCATAATGGTGAAATCACATTTGACCTGCTATGGGCTTTGATGAAACCAAAAGATTACGTGGTTTCTATGCAGTTCAGGCTTACAGTCCAGAGTCAAGCTTTGAGTGTTGTCAGTGGGACCTATCTTAGGAGAGAGAATCATACGAATTATTTCAATCTCAACGGCCGCATGATCTCTCATGATGGAGAAGATTTTGGCTATGGCTTCGTAGACATCGAGATAGATGCGTTCGACGGAGCTAGGAAGATAACATGGTTAAAGGCATATCCCATTCATTATGATCCAGATCCAGATCTCCTTCACAAGAATTTGATCCAACGAGCGCGCAAGTATATGTCCTTGATTCGAGCTCTTCCTCAGGCTGTTTGTCAAGAGTATACTGTGGATTTTGGTTTAGAGGATCACAAAACTTCGAATGGAAAAGTTCAGGCTCAGAAGGCTAACGTACGTCGCTATCTTTCCTTATGAGATGCCTAATAGTATGAACTGCAGCCCGACAACATAGACTATCGACTCCTACACTCGATCAGAAGCTTGATTTAATTTGGTAGATTGAGAAAAAGCTCGCAAATATCGAACTGCGTTTCGGAGTGTGAGAATACTTGTCTTTAATAGTACAAATTTCAGACCAGCAACTCATTAGTTACGTGGTCGTGTCATGGCGGATTTCGAGGCATGGAAGTTCAATAATGGTTGGACGGATCTTGCTAAACCACTAGTTCAAAGAGGACACTCTATTACGGGTAAAGATTTGGATTTGCGTGATGATCAATTGTGGATTTGCGCAAACTGGATCAACGGTTTCAGTTTGACCTACAAGTCACAGGGTCAAATTTCTGTTGATGGCTTGGAACACATCGTTTGGAATGAAGATGCTTTTAAAAAGCTGGTCGTTGATGAAACTAGAAGAAAGTTGATTCACGCATTAGTAAGAGCTCGCCGACAAGACGATGCTTCTTTTGATGACATCATTGAAAACAAAGGGAAAGGTCTCGTTGGATTGCTCAGTGGTAGTCCTGGTGTCAGAAAAACATTGACTGCTGAAGCGGTTGCTGAGGTTACCTCTCGTCCCTTGTACCAAGTCTGCACTGGAAAACTTGGAGTCGATGCCGATAAGGTCGATAAATGTCTAGGTACGATACTAGAGATCACTAGACGATGGGGTTGTGTTCCACTCATCGACGAAGCGGATGTATTCCTCGCAACGCGCGGAATCGACTTTGCTCGCGACACACTTGTGAGTATCTTCTTGCGAAGGCTTAAGTACTTCAGGATTTTTTTAATCTTGACGACAAATCGGAAGTCAGAAATTGATCCGGCTTTCCAGAGTAAGTAACATTCCTAGCGGGCAATGTATTTTGGCTGACATTAGAATAGGCCGTATACACTTCTCTATCCACTATTCTGATCTAACGGAAAGTGGCCGTGTAGTTGTTTGGACTAACTTTATCGGCACTGTCTCAAAGCAAACGGGAACTTCTAGCATCGATTCGACTGATATCGAGAAACTCGCAAGACTTGAGTTGAATAGATGACAGATCAAGAATGCGGTCTCCTGTGCAGTATCACTGGCAAGAGAGGAAAAAGAGCCACTTTCCGTGAATCATATTGAGATTATCTTGAGTATCATGAATTTGTGAAAAGTTGTATTACTTGCGACCATCAAAACTAGGTGAAAAACGATACTTTGAAATATTCTGTGGATATTGATCGTAAGAATGTAGAAATTTGCATGATTCCAAATCTGCTTGAGCCGCATATCACCGAATGCTGCCCACAGGTTTAGTCTTACTATTCACAACGAATGGATCAACAAAAAAGAAAGATAAGTTGAGTTGCGCTAGTGCTAGCAAGTCATCGATTATCACTCACGAAAACAAAGTATTACATTGGAAGATATTATGAATTGAATAGTCATTGATATCTAAAGGCCCATTGTGCAAATCTGCAACATGGCAAGAAGTCACAAGAAGCCATTCCCCTACCCGTTCCCACTTAACCCTTTCACCCATACCGCCGGCGACTCACCACGAACGAGATTCTAGCCCACAAGAGACTTCTTAACGGTCCGTTTTTTCCCAGCCATCCGGCAACCTAAAAGGGCATCGTTACGCTTTCTCCAGAAAAGTAGAAGAGACGCGAAAAGAGACACTGAGGAATTTCGAGAGGTTCATGGTTTAACGAACTCTGTCCCCTATCACCAAATCGCTCATGTTCCCTATGAGCCATACGCACCCCACCATCCGACATTCGTCATCCACTGTTCACATCGATAGCAGTTCTGCTTATTGATTTGCATCTCTTCTCCTAGCTCTGATTTTGACCAAACCATATCTGGTACCAACGATATCCCAGATGAATTTATACAATAGGATCAAAAACAGGATGGAGCAAGGCCACAAGATACTAATATGGTGAAATGTGTTATTCGTACACAACTCATTAGCATCGATGTAGTTGCAAGTCGCAACGGTAAGATTCGAACCAAAAAGATTGAAATCGCTGACCGGAGTAGTCGTACCATTTCCATCTTTGAACGTGCCGTTGACAACTTCAATATTCTTCATGGCAACCGAAACCGCGAGTCTTATATCGTTTTTGTGGACTGGAACCAAAGCGATAGGAAGCATGATAGCGGTGCAGAGTCCAAAGGAGTATATGCTAACCATGCAGAAATCGTAATACTTGCTGCGGCGCATGCGCTTCATAAGAGTATTGGAATCGCCTTGACGGGTTGTCTTGTTTTTTGTACCGTTTTGGACATTTGGGTTTACGGTGGGAAGTTTGCCGAATTCAAGATCCTTGCTAGTGGAATTAGCTGTGTGGTAGCTAGCGCCGCTACTCAAGTCGCCTTCGTCAGAGAATACATCACCTGACTTGTTGGAATATGTGCTGTTTCTGTTGCTGACGGCGAGTGTACCGGCGTTAGAATCCAAATCTTGTCCTTGAGATTGAGAGGAAGACATGTTTGATGTAATAAGAGTTTTCTTAAAACTTTTTGACTTGGGTTGTTGTAAGTATAGTTCTTATACCTGGAAGGTAATATGTGAGTGGGTCTGAATTTGTAATGGTAGAGTCGAAATGTGTCTGTTTTGTGTTGAAGTAAGATCTTTTGATTTGGTCTTGTAGAAGTGTTATGTGTAGAAGGAAGAAAGCTGTCTCCATCAGAAGACCAGAGTCCTTATATATGCAAGAACGTGTAACTATACAACATGTAACTGATTAGTGTCATCTTGAGAACGTCGCTAATTAGTGGTCATATATTACCCGCACCGGCCGTATGCGCTGACCATGATCCAGCAATGAACGAGAATCCCGAATTATGGTTTTACCGTATTAAACTCATCAAAGCCGTACCAGGCCACTTTGAAACACGCTACTCTGGTTGTTGAGGGGTAGTGAAATATTTCTTGAGGGAGGGAAATACGAAACATAGCTCGGCGAAGAACGAATGAGGTGTATATAGATCAGATTCCACCAAGACATTCATGATATGGGTACAATTAAAACATGCGCGCATAATTATTTCCGTTTTCCGATGGTCTGTATTGTGTGTGGGCCTACAAGCTTCAAAGTCGTGCTCTCATCTTCCATTTCGCGGCCCATTCTTCGGCTCGGATATATTCATGAACTCTCCCCTCGGAGCGCGATATACATAGTAAGTACTCGCGTGTGAGGAATATGTCATCATCAATCAAGACCTAGAATTATAGCTCGAATCGACGTATTAAATTATTGCTAATAGACTATCTCTGACTTCCATCCTTTCCTACAATATCAAACTGATGATTCAAATATGTAGATTCCCCCAAATTAGACAACGTAGCCTCCTGCCCTTCCGATAATGACCTTCCAATCATCCACTAGTAAACTAGGCATGAGATTATCTTCACACCCACCGTCCGATCCTAAAAATACCTAACAAATGAAGGAAAACAGAGCAACACCAACTAACAAAAGGGCAATGCCCCCGATAGTTTGGTAGACCAACTTATTTTCTCGATCTTAACGATCTTGACGATCACATTCCGCGAGATACCGTTGCAAATTCGCCTGGTACTTAGCAGCTTTCCTTTCTCTAGCTCTTCTTATCTTTCTCTCATACTTTTCCTCCAGAGTCATACAATGCACCAAATCATTTTGCACCACGTATCTTCTATACTCCTCCCATCTTCTTAATTCCCTCTGCTTAGCCTGCCATTCCGGATCCAGTTGTTTGAGATAATATTCTTTCGCTTGCTCGGCTAGATAATCGATTTCGACCTGTCGTTGAATCCGAAAGTTCTTGTAGTGCATAAGTTTTCCGTATTGAGGCGATAGTTGAAATCGGATGTCGTTCCAGTTCTGGTGTTTACGTATGCTGTTGTGATACCATTCTCGTTCGCGAGCTTGAGTGAGCTCATCTTTTCTTAATCGTTCATGAGATTGCAGATAATACGTGGCTGACATTTTGTGTAGATGCTGCGAAGCTTTGTTAGTATTAACTTCTGGACCCGGGGCTGGCCATCAGGGTATGGGGAAGGGATCATAACTGGTTGAAAAGGGATAGTTTATTCGTTTCTAGGAAGTATAGAAATCTTTGAGATTAGTTGTTCCGGTGGTATTTCGATTTGCGATGATGCGAACTAGTGATGGTGTGTGTCGAAGTACGTGATATGGAGATTTTGATCCTGATGCTATGATGCTGGGTCTGATGTCGTCGGTAATGTCGAATTTCAATGCTGAGATCGATGTTGACGTCTATATTCTGCGATGTTGGTTGGCGTTGGCTATTGGTGAAATGTGGAAGATGAGCGTTAGTTGTCATGAATCCACGGCACAATTATCTTTCAAAGGATGTGGCGGCGGCTCAGACCGTAAGACACAAAGATGAGCAGTTCAGCTGGCCGTAACAGATTGTTTGAGACCGTACGACTTAGAAAATGGATCATAGGATGATGGCATATTCAAAACTGAAGCGACCGTAACTCGGTAAAGAAATTCATGGTGTAAAGTCCCCATATACCGGACTGCATACCATCAATAAAACTGTTTTAGTTGTTCGATTCAAAGAGAAAATTGAGTTTGCTTGAGATACTAGTTCATTGCGAATGGTGAATTGTTTTTTGATACCCAAAGCTTACATTCAATCTGGTATCCCGGATTGCTGGATGCTTCGGAGGAAGCATCACCGTACATTACTGAAGTCACACACTACCAGAAAATATGTCCAATAATATTATGGGAGAGTCTAGTTTGAAAGATTAAATTAATTGCATGGTAGGCTTATTAAGTGATTCCTCTGCACATTTACAGTTGATCTGATCATGAGAGTTGAAAGCCCCCGTAAACAAGAGCCCTCCAAACTATTACAACCATCACCACATCGCTTATCCTGTGAAAGAAACAGACTTTTAAAATCATAGCAGGTACAATATAATCATTTTCTCCCTAGTCTCGCCCTGCATCAGCATTGAAGCACTCGTAAGTGCAGCGCGAATTCATATCGACCATGCCGAAGACCAATCCTTAAGATACATAATGAAAGCTCGAATACGCAACGAAGTGTTTAAAAACCATTAACCACGACCAGCTGCAGATGGGGAGAAACAAAATTTCGAAATGGAGAGAAAAGTTGATGTGATGGAAGAGCTCTTGTAATCCAGAACTATAGGTCGCTAAAGTTAGTGAACGCTCACCAAGGGTGTATTCGGAAAGTGAAAAAAGGGAAAACATAAGTAGTATCCCCGAAGTGAATAGATATCTGTGAAAAGGACTTAAGATCATTTATGCATACATACCTACTCGAGCAACTCAAACTGAAATAGTTTACCCAATTAACTACTGATCCAAACGAGAAACATCAGAGGAGGTGACGGAGGTTGCCAAGCTGGCGCTTGATCCATCCAAAAGGCAATAACAAGCAGTTTCTCTCTTCCTTTTCATCCCTAGCACCAACACCAGCTTGGTTGTAAAATCCATCGTCGTATTCGCCCAAAGCATCAACGTGAGTAACGGAGCGGTTGTGGTCGGAGTGAGTAAGGTCTTGAGCCTACCACCAAATTCAAATTAGTTTGAACGTCCTTGATAGAAAGAGTTTTCGTCACTCACAGTAGCCATGTTAGAAGCTCTGGAAAAAGGATAACGAACATCGGATGGATTGCGTGGAAGTTCGAAGACGGCGCCAACGGTAATCATCGTCTGTTGGTTACCGGCAGAAGGTTGAGCGTTGGTATGAAGCTCACTTTCTGGGAACGACTGTAATTCGATACTACCTAGGTTATCATCGAAAGATGGAAAATCAAAGCTAAAAGCTGGAATGTCCAGAGCTGCTTGATTCTGTTGATTTCCAAGACTAAAATCCATTGGAGTGGCTTGACGGCGAGGAACTTCTTGAGTCTCATCCAAACTGACATTCATCTCGGAATGCTGATCATCAGATTCCTCAATAATGGTGGAGGTGCTTACTGGGACAGGAAAGGGGATGCTCTCCCATGCTGGAGAAGGCACCGCGACCTTTGGAGAGGTTCTAGCTGTTTCCGCGAGAAATTGATGAAAGTCGGCTGACTGAAACTGCATGCGCTCTCTGAAAGCCGCGTGTTCTTTTTCAGTTCTCGCACGGTTAAATCTCCAACGAGCGATTGCGGCCTCGTTATCCGCCGAAATAGAAGATCCGTCAGCGGTTGTTACACTATCGGGATATCAGTACTTTCGTGTTTTCTAATTGACTGAGAAGATGTTGGTGGGAGTCTCTTACCTTGAGTGCGAGGGCGCAAAATTTGGGGTCATATTAAAGCTATTACCAATAGTCTCACTTCTTGAATGTTAGTCCCTCTTTGAGAATTTGAACTGGGGAGTAGGGGGAGAAATTCTTACATGGAATCCGACATGGCTCGTATTAATTTCGAGCAAAGGATCGAGGAAAATATAATGAGGTATTATAGAAACTCTCTGACTCAATGCGAACGTAGGAGCAGAGTTCTACAAAAGAAATTGTTGGAAATAAGTTCGAACTTTGAAGTGTTTCTACAAAGATGTGGTTGTTGGTAGAGTTCAAATATCGAACAGGCAATGCCAAAGAGTGGATGATTTGGATTATGAGATTATATGTGAGTAGAAAATCTAGACGTTTTCCTTGAAGACAAATGAGAAAGAATCTCAGATATCAAACAAGAAAAGTAGTTCTAACTCGAAATTATGGGATTGAAAAAATTGTTGTTGTTGTGAGAAAGAAGTCGGATGCGACGCCGAAATTGAAAAATATATTCACCACTCAAAACTGTTGTAAATTCACCGCCTAGCAAAAATCATAATTGGATACTCAGAATCTCCAAGCTATTATTACTGGCAGAATAGCAGGCTGGACTATATTCTTATTTCGAGTCAGCCTTGTGAACTATTCAAGATGGTGTTGTACTATTTGGTTAACATGTTTTGAAGCATTCTCCTAGAGATCAAATCTAAGAAATGGTTGTATGCCAACTTCACAAAATTTAGATATCTTGTTTGATTATAGCTTTCATCTAAGTTAAAAAAGATGGCAGAGCAAAGTAGTCAAATGAAAAGAGCCTTTCATTCCTTTGCATTATCATGATAGCTGTGAATGCAACACACAAACACCAGAGGCTGACAACCTAACAAACTGCCCTCATCATTATTGAGCACCGCACCCTTTCCAGCACCGAAACCCCAGAAAACAGTAAAGCCCTAGTGGTCTGATTCCAGTCCCAGAGTATCAGGGAGATTCATTTGAATGATATCATCAAGTTGTTTTCTCTTCTCATCATATTACTTCTTGCGGTCCATCTCCAGATCAGCATCAGCAGAGTCCTTCTTGGAAGCCATTTTGGCATTGGTAACTTGACTGTCCTCCTCTAGAATTTCTTTCTTCGAGCTCCCTGATAGAATCTCTGATATAACCTTAGTGTACAGCTGTCCCTCGTTGTTCAACAGATCTTCATATCTGATCAACCTGCCTTGCATCTCCTCAATATCTGCGCATAAACGCCTGTGGACTACATGAGATGCAGTGGAGAGAACCAGAATTATTACAACAAACGAAAGGATAAATCCACCAAGATTATACTTCACGTATGTCTCATAGCATTGCGCACTATCAGGGACTGAATCGCAGATATGTTCTCCTGGTTGGAAGCCCCAACCATTGTTCAATGGAGCAACACCCTTGAAATCGTACAAGAAAAACTTGCGCCCAGACACATAGCTTTCAGTTCGATTGGAGTAGTAATTGAAGCCAAGGATCATGACCAGAGGAATTAAAGTAAGGATGGTGAGAGTACAGATGAACTCGGAGTAGCATTTGGCGAGAAGCTTATTGTACCAGTTGATGGCATTTTCACGCTCGAAGGAGGTTTCATGCGGAGTGATGTTTTGATTGATAACTCCTTGATATCCCATAGATCTTTCGATATCCATTGCTTTATCAATAACGTAGGAATAAGAATCGGACTTGGAGCGCATTTTGTGTTGAGGGGGATCTGTCATTTTTGTAGTTGGCAAGCGGTGGATGGATACTATAGTTGTATGGTTAGTTACACAGTTTCTTGAGATAATTGATAAGATTTCTCTTCAATTTTGAAGCCGTAGAGCAGATAGACCAAGCTCCAGCTTCCAAGGATCTGAAAGATGTAAATCTTGAACAAGTTATAACAAAATGTTATTTGAAAAGGATGAAAGATTTAGGTGAGTTCAAGAATAATGAGCCTTTAGATTTTAGACTATACCTAGATTACCAGAAGTTCGTTCTGGAGACAGAATAACTACATACCTTTGTTGAAATTTGACTCAAATTGGAGGAGGTTGTGTGGAAGTCTGGACTTCTCGAGGCTGAAAGGGATTGTGAAGCCAGAGGGAATCCGATGTCAAAGACGGTGAGTAACCCGTTGACAGTACCAAGGGATGATAATGTTAGTTCAATGAACAAATAATACAAAATGAGTGTAAGTGTGTTAGAGGTGCAAAGGGACAGGTACTTGGAGAAGCCAATTTGATATTGGAGGTTGACTTAAGATTTTGTCGCCTATGGTAGCGCTAGGACGCTAAGCCTACAATATGCGAAATTCTATTATCTTTACTTCTGCAATTGACGGTGAATTGTGAAAAATTTCTAAGAGTACTGATTCCCTATTTTGACAGAAACACACGACGTTCCACTCTTTGGAAGTTTCGGATTGAAGATATGTTTACATCTTTCGAAAACTGCTATAAAAACCGTCTTAATGTTTCTCACAGAGCGTAGCCCCAAAAGAAGCTACTGATGGACTCAATAGTCATGTAGTTTGTATGAATGATGTTTGAGTTCTGTTCTCTCCCTGAGTCAAGCCACTGCGGAAACTGGTGGGAAATTCTAGGCTGACAAGTAGTAAGTGCTGTAGTCTCCTTTCCATCTACATGTTCTCCATAATCTTTTATCTAATGTCAAAATCACACTGTGGTTCCAAAGTATCACAGCTCCACGCTTCCTTTAGCTAACTTGAACTTGAAGTCTTTTAAACCGCCAATCCCAACGTCGACTTTGAATAGTGCTCCCGCATACTCGTCACCCCCATCACTTGCGCTCGTAACCCACAATTCAGTACCCACAAATACGGGACAAGTCACACACTTCGTTGGATACTTGATTTCGCCAACAACTTTTCCTTGAGGATTGATCTTCAGCACACGCCCTTCCCCGAATATACATTGCCAGATATTTCCTTCCGAGTCGAACTTGAACCCATCGGGCTCTCCTTCTCCATCGTGCTTCCAAAATACCCGTTTGTTGGTCACATCGCCAATCGAAGCATCGTAGTCGTACGCCCAAATAGTTTGCTCTGTTGTATGGGTGAAGTACAGGGTTTTTTGATCTGCAGACCAGCCAATTCCATTAGGAATCGTGAGACCTTCACGAATAGTATGGCGTGTGAGATCATTGTCGAAGCGGAACATTGTACCTGAAGACGTCGAGTTTAGCGGCAAGAAAGCACAGGGCGAGGCCACAGTTATCATAAATTGGGGGAACCAGGGGGTGGATCACATGTCACAGACTACACACCGGGACCAAGAGATTCCACTCATCCACTTGGTGCTTGTTGGGAACCCATAACTCAGGCTTATCGTGAATATCTAGTCAGGAATCAAATAATCACCCACCTTCACTTTGTGGCTCCCCCACCCAAAAGTCATTCATAGTCCCGATCCAAAACCTTCCTTTTGGATCTACGGCCCCATCATTACTCCTCAATCTCTCATCTTTTTCCTCGCTGTCATAAAATCTTTTCAATAACTTCATCTCTCCATCACTTCTGCTCAGTACGTAAACCCCGCTCTTGCCACCCACCAATATCCTATCGGTACAATCTATACCCTCAATATCAGCTGTTACGCCGACAGGAATGTCTAGTTGCATGGTCGTAAGAGACGACGGACCAACGTTGAGATCGATTGTATGGAGGCGCTTCTTCTTGATGTCCACAAAGCGGATTGTGTTGGTGGAAGGCTCATAAAAGGGAGCTTCACCGAGCCCACAGTGTGGGTTGACGTATGGTTCCGTGACTGTCCATGTTTGTATGGAAGACATTACTAGTTGATATCGAGAATTGGGATCCGAGTTTAGTTGCTGCTTGAATGTGGAAGTTTGATTTACAGATACTGAGGTACTTGAGTACTACACCTGTTACTAGCTGTATAGATGGCACGGCGATTATCTGGTGGGGAAGGAAGTGATGTCACATCAGAAAATCTTTTCAGCGAGTTATGAGCCTTCGAGACATTGCTTCCTGACATGGAATGAATTTCTATCAGTGCGATACTCTTATTAGAAAGAGAAAATAGGACTAAGTACTTCTACAATTTTATCTACTATCGCTTTCATAGAAGTTGTGCCGCAATTGCTCACTGCTTTTGGCAAAATCCGGTATTCCGGGCCTCTTGCCGTCGTTGCAAAAGGGGTAAATTTTGGCAAATTTTACATAGACTTGTGGTTCCGTTGGAATTGCGGGAACGATATTATGCTATTGGGATCAAGAGGTGGTACAGAGTACTGCTTCCTTGAAAAGACTGTTCACCTGTTGAATCTCACTCTTGCTTACTCTAATTGCTTATCCCTCTTGTCTTTTACATTCAAGGTTTCCGTTGTCCGAATTCAGTCAGACAATCAGTGGTGTTCCACTCCTGAAACGCATTAGAACAATCAAAAGACTTAGGTATCGACATCACTTCAAAACGTTGAATTGTTCTGGGCATTGAAAGTCCACAGTCAGTCTGCTAGGACGGACCATTTGACATTCCAGTCGCAGTCCTCACATGAAGGATTGGGAAGGATTGTATTGTATACTCCCTGTGCTTTACATCTATGTAGTTCCGCTACATGTAACCCGTGAAACAGAACGAACACGTCGCATTGGCAGAAGAGCTTTGGTGCAGCTTCTCTGACGTGTCGCTCTCGCTGTCCTCCAATTCTTGATCGTCCACTTTCTCCATTATTATCGTGCATAAAACCGAATTTCTCGGTCTCTACCGATGACCCCGCTTTGTAGGATTGATGAGAGCATGGTGTAGATAGCCCACCGTTGCCATGGAGGTTAATCGAGGATCAAAGTTTAAACACATTATCGTGAATTAATCCCCCGACACAATCTACCGAGATGGAAATTCCCCATTCTGTGCAATAAATTCACATGGCGTTTATTTGTCGGAACCGCGGAGTTGGAACCAGAAGTTTGGAATCATTCGTAGACGCCTGATATAAGAATGCTCTATAGCTGCATTTTGTTCTTCGAGTGCTCGGAGATGGAAGTCTTCGTGGCAATTGCAGGTTAATGATATCTCGAAATGTTATACCGACAATCTGTTTCAACGGCTATCAGGCATTATGTTTTGCGGTGAGCCACAAGACTAAAATATCACTGAAACTTAATGGGTTTTCGAGGAGAGCTCTCCAAGTCCTGGTAGAGCAAATGCAGAACTATTGATCTAGTGACGCGTGTCTAAGCTTGCCAGCAAAGAGATGCATGTAATTACCTCCTTCAAGACGTGGAAAAACTCAATTGCCACTCTTCTGCTTCTACTTCTGTACATCATGTTGCAATGCTTATTCGAGTTTAGGATGAACATAGACTGGTAGTGATTTTGACGACGCGTCAAGCACAGGTAATAATGCTGGCCATTTATGATGCTGTTGCTATTGGCGCCAGCGAAGAATCTTCACCGCTGGGGCTAGAACCCTTTTTTGTCTCTTCGCCTTTCACCGACAGTCGCGGATCTATACCGTAATCCCGATTGGGATAATTGCGTGGCAAACGTGGATATGATTCGGTATGGGGATAAAGCTGCAAGTGAACGCACGCATAATTATCGTCGACTTGGCGCTATCTCGTCACATTGCGCAAGAAGAGAGTCAATCCCGAGCCCCATAAGACTTACATACGACTTGCAGATTCGGATAGGACCCGTTAGGACCAAACAGCAGGAAAGACAAGCAGGCAGACCGCTGTTCGCCATGCGTTTTTTTTTTTCGCAGGCTCAAAATAGTGTGGAGAATCACACTGTTGCTGAGGCAATTGACGAATCTCCTCCGATGGCAAATGCCGGGACACCTTTCACGTGACTATATTGTTTCCAGACGAGATGCAGATGGCGACGCACGGATAAGCTTAATATAAGCAAGCAGATACTATTTTGCTTGGGTTGTGTTCTTCCTTCATTCTGGAATCAAGTTGTTAATGTTGTGTCACTCCCAAAAGGAGGTCGCGTACACATCAACTTAGGCATTGTCATAACAGGCATGGTAAAAAAAAAGATGAATATCACCGTTCTTCTAATACTAATATTTGGTGAATTGACCGCTCATAACTCATGGAATCAAGAATCAATCTACATTCCAAAAGTTATTGCCACGCGAAGAGATTGATAAGGGTTGGGATTTGCATCCTCCTCTGGATAGTATGTCAATAGTCCCCGTTGAGATGTAATAAGCAACCGTAAAGCGGCCTGATACCTTCGGAAGCTCAGATCACTATTAACAAATCAACCAAGTCCCAGCCTCTTCATTTTTGGAGTTTCGTATTACCGAATCGAACGTGGTGGCTGGGATGTTTAGAAGAAATCGAAGTGATCGCGCTTGACATTGCCCCGGGCATTAAATTCATGACATGGGCTCCAAAAAGCACATGACTGTCATTTGCTGCGACTGTCTCCCGCTGCGTGTCCGTTAGGGAGTACATATGCGGTATCTGCACGTGCGGGAATTTACAACGTGCATCTTCAAGGGACCCAAGTATTGAAGGGCCAATCATTCTAGCTCGCCTCAAGATTCGCATCCATATACGGCATTGGACTCACAGTATATGACTTATCTCTTTTCATCAATCAATTGGGTTGGCAGAAATCGGTGCATGATTGCCCTGATTCATAGTGTCGACAGCTCACCTTGTATATTCACAATTGCTTCCCTAGATTTTCCCATTGGGTCTGATGGTTGCGTGGTTGCGTGTTGCTTAGTTCAA